GGCTATAGTAGGTTCTGCAAGCTACCTAACACATGCACGTGCCTTTGGATACTGTTGTTTAGCCGAGAATCCCAGAATCCTATTACCATTTTTCTTCCTAGATTATTTATAGATTGATAAAATTGGTAAAATATTATATTATTATAATATAATATTGTAAATACATAGAAATTTTTATTGCAGACTGCCCCATTTCAAACCACCGCGTCTGCGTTTAACTCACACAGACCTGACATGAAAACAAATCACATCGAGCTGTGTCGTACGACGGTGTCTGAGTTAGCTTTTAAAATCACTTCATTCAACTGTTGAAACATATTGCCGTATGACATGTTTGAATTTTAGTGGCAAATGATAAAATTGCACATTACTCTGAATGTAGTTTAGAATATAAGGCTGATAGATTGCTTGTGTATTGACTACCGAAGTTAAGACACTTCCTGCCACAGAAAGCAGTTAGCTGATAGTAAAATGCTACATTATAGGAGGCCAGAGGGGTTTCCATACTCACTTCCACTCTCTCCAGCCGTTGATAGGTTGATTGGAGTAGCAGCTCTACATTATAATATCTGCAAAATAATGCAATCCTCACTGAAAGGCTATGTAGTGCAGGTTATCCTACAGTACATGTAAGATTAAATAAGATTTATTGGATCACTCCTTTAAACAGAAGATAAGTAATCGTTGTCATTGTGAGAGATTCAACTCATATGAAACTTGAAAATTATAAAAAAAAAAAATAACATCTAGTTACAATATTATATTATACAACTTACATTTAATTGAAAGTAGTAACAATAATATTATTAATAATAATAATGATAATACAGTAATAATAATAATAATTAATAAATCATTTTTAAAGTGCTCTATATCATAAAATATGTACTTAAATAAAGAGAGAAAAAAAAAAAAAAATTCAAACTTAAAGGCAACTTTTTTTTATTACCTTGTTTTGCGAACTTATTTTTTTAAAGATCGTCAGAGGAGGGCTGAAAAAAAAAAATTTTTTTTTTTCTTAGCAAATAAGTTTTGCCAAAAACATACAGACGGAGGAGAAAATCAAAATAAAATTTTATTGGTGAATGTAAACAGTGTACTAATGGGATGGTTAAATGCTTTAAATTTATATAATTAGGAAGAAATATACCTTATTTTGGAGATTTCAAGGTAGTGGGCATAATAAAAATAAAGAAAAACTTTTTTTCCTTTTCTTTGTCTTTTCTTAAATACTTCACTTTTACAACAAGGAAGTCAAAGGTAATTTGGTATGAATTACATTACAATACAATACAACACAATTTAATTTAACCTTGAATTTTTAGACCCTGAAGAGAATATTTAAGTCAACACATAACACTAATTTCCTGGGCTAGCCAACAGACAACTTGTTGACATGAATGGAAAAAAAAAAATGTTAAAAATAACACTTGCATACTACAGTTGGGATTGAGTTTGTGATATAAAGTTATGGTTTATAGAATAGTTTTAATTTAATTACATGCTACTACTAACTGTAACAGATATATTTTTACCCAACAAAGGAAATAGCTCAAAAATGAAAATATAACTTAGATTGGCTCATTAAGGAAAAAAAAAACACAAGATGCATTTTCAATACGTCACAGATCGGAAAAAATATTGTTTTCAATCGTTTACATTATATTAACTGCATTAACTGCAAGTTCATTAAAGTGCTGCCATAATTTTAAGGATGCATATTTAACTACAACATTTATTCTAATAAACGCCCTCTCCAGAGCCTCATTTGGAATAAATGCCTCTCGAATAAACACCCTCCTGCCAAAATAAATGTAAGCAGAACTTAAGGAAGCAACATCATTCTCAACACAATCTATTAATGTACTCCAGTAGAATTGCATTTTTTTTTATAGTTTGTGATCATTTAGTCTTTATGATCACACAATAATGCATGTTGATTGTTAATTATGTACTGCTATCCACATTTACAGTGAAATTAAGTGAAGTTTGTTTGAGACGTTACGTATCCATTTTACAAAAAATAAATAAAATGCAACCCTCCAATAAACACCTCCCTCGAATAAACGTCCCCCTCGAAAACATTCCTCAACAGTCGTTGAGGAATACGGACCTATGCATTTTTTTAACACTGTTAAATGTGAACTCTTGCCCCTGGCGGCAAATGTGTTAAGATTACTGTTGATGGGGACTTGGTACCTACGTGAAACATTATATGTAAAACATGGACTTGACTAGTTTAAAGAAATGTAGAAAATCCCTCAAAAATTCAATTAAAACATTTTAATGACTCACTAACTTAAAAGGATATAAACTGAAACAATAGCAAAAGATCAAAGTAATTTGAAAAAATCTATAATTACCTGCTTCCGCAGCCAAACAGTACACAATGATGACAAAGATGATTTCATACTTTGCACTACAACAGGAGCGACCGCTCACTGGTCCGCGCGTTCCTCCACGCTGAAATATGGTATAGGCGCAAGTTATTATTTTGGGTTTTTTAGAAGAGCTAACAAAGAAAAAAATTTTAAATAATAAGGATTTTTATTTGTGCAATAAAAATAATGTTTAGAATGTTCATTTGTACAAAATTAAAATATCTCGCAACTTCTTTTTGAACACATCCTTAACCGACTGCACCATTCATGTGACCTGCCCTATTATTGGTGATGAAAGTAATGTACAGTCCTTGCTGACACACAAAAATCCTTAAATTGCCAATTTAAAGGGTCTTGCCAAGAATCAATGATTAATACCACCGCCAAAGGAGGTTATGTATTTGCCACTGTCTGCAGTGTTAGCAACGCAATAACTATAGAATGGATCATCATTAAATTTAGTGGAATGGTACTAATATTTGAAGGAAGAGAGGATTAAATTTTGGAAAAGAAAAGGTCAAAGGACAAGGTCAGGGTTATGGAAATTTTGATTTTTTTACCTCGAGCATAAAAGATGATAATGGATTGGCTCCATCATACACGGCCTGCGTATTGTTCAGTATTCAGGTACAGGGGGAAAATAATGGAATCGCGCATCATACACAGTCAAATTGTTCAGTATTCAGGCACAGGGCAGAGAGTAATGGAATAGCCCATCGTACACATCCTGCATGTTGTTCGGTATTCAGGCTCTGGGTGGAGGTATGCACTCAATGTAGTGACTGCTCTAGTGTTTTGATTGTCGAATGAAGCATTTTTATGTTAATTTAAGCTAATTGCTAAGTAAAGCAATTCAAATGTTAAGTTTGATTGTTCAACTTTTAGCTCATAAATCACAAGACAACATGATATCTTTAATAAGTTCTGTTTGCCAACTTTATTACCGTACCAGTATTTATAATACAGTGCCCCATGTCTATGTCTGGGTTCATTTTGTCTGATATAGACAATGCCTTTCTTTAAAATTGCTCTCTTTAAAAGTCTAGTACATGCAAGTAATAACAATGAAGTTCTATTAAAGTTGATTCAAAACTCCATTGTGTTCACCTTCTAGACTAGTGTGTATAAATAATCCAGTTTAACTTCAATTTGAAAATAGAATCTTATCAGTTAACCCTTTTACACATTTGGAACAGAAAGTAGTGGCCTATGACTACAGAAGAGTTTGCCAGTTTTTATGTTGAGAAGCAGATTTCACTATAGAAATGACAATAGCACTTATAAAGACTAACCCGTAAAATTTAAAATTTATTTGCTCTACAGTTAGCTTTTCATCTTCAATTGGGATTTAGTACATCAGACATAAAGATTTTACTAAGTAATAATTTGAACACAATATTCTAGGATTTTATCATTACAGTATTTACAACAGTGGAGGGTGTACTTAAATCTACAATTTATGGAAAAGTTTAACAGATAATGATAAACAAAAATCCAACAAGATTTGTAATTTCCATCAAGTCTTCAATATTAGTTGATTATTCCTTTAAAAGACCAGGGAAAAATCTAATGGACATTTAATTATAGGCAAACTTTTCCACATGATCATCTCATTTAGGGTACTATACCTAGATGCAGACATTTCCTTTTCTCTCTTGAGAATAACAGATTGAAGTTGAGTATATCCCAATTATATCCTGCTCAGGATTATACAAAATTTCACTTTGAAAATTGTACATTAGTACTTAACAAACTCTCTCTTCCTTAATTTGAAAAATGGTGGTAGAGATCTATACTTATTTAAACGTTGTAGGGCATGCATTTCTAATAAAATCTCACAAGAAGCCATTTGCCGACTTTTAATATTTGTATACTGTACTTAGTTTTTGATACAAAATATATAAAAATAAATCATTTAAACACATTAAATTGCTGGATTGGATTGGATTTATTCGGTGTGAAAACCAAGGATAGCCCACGAAAGTCTAGAAGAAGACTGATTTCCAGTGGGGTCCTTCTGGTAGGGTTGTGATTTGGCAGTGCACCGGTAGTCTCCTACTCTTTTCCAAAGAGTGTACTGCGTTCTTTAACGTGCGCCATAAATGCACACTGGACCAACGGCTTAAACGTCTCATCCGAAAGACGGCGTGCTCTTGTAAATTGTATCTTAGCTCCCTCCCTCAGCTGAAACACAAATGACCGGGGACCTAGAGACCTCTACGGTTCAGCGCACACACACAGTGGCTACCACCAGATTAGCCGACAGAGCTAAGCTACTCTCTGCAACCCTCTGCTCTATTGAAAGGATAAAATAAAGTTACTGCAAAGTGTCAATGAGACCCACATTGAACCAGATCCAGGTTTTACTGATTTACAACAGATGTTTATATAAAAATCTGTATTGGTAGTTATATTGAGATTCAGATTAAGGTTTAAATGCAAAGAATTATTTGTGTATCTCTTATATTGCGAGGAAACTATTTTTTTTTTCTTATTGTATCAAGTGCTAAACTCAACAATAAATTAAAATGTTATATTTTTTAAGGACAGGCAGATATCTTGTGCTCACAAGTAATTTTTCATGTTCTAATTAAGTTTTTACATTTTTTGTTCTTTTAGCTCTTGTGCCCGGTACATTATAAGTGACGATCTTTCGTATGTCCCCGAGGCTTTCCGGCTGAATCTGAGTGATGCTTTACAAGCCGCTCAGGAAAAGCTTGGAGACTGGGCTGGCGATCGCTTCTTCAGGTTGGCTGGGCTCTGTGTCGCACCCTGGTCACATCCATTTCTGATTGACATCATGGAAGGCTCCTCTGAGCCTCAAGGATTAGGTAAGTGTGTAGTTTTAGGGTTTCACCAAATATTATTTTAACTTAATAAGTATCAGTTAACAGTTTTTTTAGGCAACTAAACTCTGAATTGAAACACTTCTGCCTTCTAAATTCTTTATATATTTAGGAGAACTACATTATTTTAAAGAGAAGGAATTATTCAATGCAAATTAATGTGTTAAAGAATATAATTATCAGAAGAGATGTATTTACTCTTAAATAATAATTTCAGAATACCAATTTCAAAATTTATTAGCTTAGCTTTATTGAATTCCCATTATTAAATAAAATCTGAGGACAGAGAAAGACATAAAATAGAATATTAAAATGATTATAAGAATTTTTAAAATAATAATGGTAAGAAGGCATTAGTAATACTGATTAAGATCTGTAATAAGTTTTTATGCCAATTTCTGAGAATCAAGAATAATGATAAAAATAAATGCCAATGATATAAAATGATAAAATTTGTATTACTGTATGGAAGTCTGTGGGCAGAATGCAAGATAAATACAGTGATGTCATGTCCCTTGGGTGTGGTGATGTAGCTTCAGACTCATTTTTCTAATTATTTCCACTGAGATTTGAGTCACTAACTGTAGATTATTGACACTTTGCTTCCTAAAAATCAAGAGACACATCAGTGTGTATTACTAATGTATGCTAATGTCAAATTAAACACTTTAGCTGTTTTAGTGAGAACAATTGAATTATAAATGATTATTATTGGATAATATTGACCTAGATTTGTGGTGAGGTAAAAGAGAACAAACAAAAATAATAAATCATTTTTTCATGCAATAAAGTATTAAAAGTTATTATATTTCAATTAAAAATTTGAATGAACAAAAGGTATCGTCCTTGTCAGTGTCATAAGTAAAACTGTTCATAATCTTTGCATAGATCTTTAGGATTTTAGCAACCTATGTTATAATGTTAGTAAAAAGTATGGATTCGTCTCCCCATGTACTGCTGAAATCGCCACCAGAATCAAACTTGTCAAGAATAAAAAATGAAGGCAACAATGTATGGGAGTTCACAAAAAAAAAAAATATAAACAATTTACAGTAGAACCCCTATTAAGGGGACAATTTCAGGACTAAAAAATGTATCCCCTTATAGGGGTGCCCCCTGAATAGGGGTTGGTTGTAGTGTTAGATATACTTTTCCTTGTTTTGTGCCTGAAAAAGTGTTCTTTAATTGGGGTGTTCTAATAGGAGTGTTCTAAAGGAGAGGTTCTACTGTAGTTACTAGGGAGCTTTTGATTGCACGACATCGGTAGGACGTAGAACTAAAAGTCTTCTGCGCATGCGAGAACGTTAGGTTCTCCTCGTCGCCTGGATTCTAGGATACAATTTGACTAGATCTACATATTCAGAGAACGTGGGATGCCCTAGGCCGGTCACGCATGAGTGATTCAGTTCAGTCGAACAAATCGAAAGCACCCTAATAAACAAGTTGCTGTAAACTTAAAATAGAATTGAACAAAAATTATTTTTATTATTATATTATTATTAAAAATTTTGAAGGAAGTTATATTGAAGAAATATATAAATAGATACAAAATACTATGAATTTGGTAAAAATTTTAAAGTGGAAATATTACAGTACATGGTCACAGGAATTTCAGACAAAGCCAGCGCAGACTGCTGACGAAGGCTTGTGTAATAAATTTACAGTTCTGTTCGCTGAAATGAGCTTTTTTTTGTTCATCGAAAATGACTAATAGTTGAAAACAGACACATAATAGGCGAATATTCAAATATTCCCTGAAGCCAAGAGGAAAAAAAAAAACAAAAACAAAAACAAAACATAAGCACTTGCATCACATTGACATATAAAATGATTTTTCAGTAGTTAAAAAACAACCCCATAAAAAGTCCATACAAACACAAAAACAAAACTAATGTAAACAGCCTAAAACCAGCATAAATCAACTTTAAATATATGAGCCTTACAAATTGCATTGAATTGGATTATCTATTTTCACATCTGGAATGGGTGGATTGGGCTGTATGGTTTGTGTTTACATCAGTTGTCGCATTACATTTTTAGAACTAAATTGCAGTTCTGTATTGTACAGTATATGTAGGGACATTTGATATAAGAGATCCTCAGCTTCTTAACTGTTCCTATACTTCTGTGCTGTTTTTTTTTATGCACAATGGCCAGGCTTGGAAAGAAAAATGTTTGCGCCTCTGACTGTGAAAGTTGTCTCGACAAAATACCTCCAACCGCAATTTGCGTGGTCTTGTAATTTTTCCACCTCTGCACAATAGTTAAATAAATGTTCAAATTAATTTTTTACATTGAAAAGAGGGAATTGCATTTTTAAAGCACAACACAAAATCTATTTTAAGAATTTATATTGATAGTTATAGAAATTAATTTCAAGCCATTTTTTTTCTGGACTATACAGATAGAAATTTATGATTTATAGCTGTATTTTCAATATTGATAATTATGTGCTTTCCTCAAAAGAGAACTTTATATGCTTGTCGCATTGGTTCATTATTCGTTATGGTAAGGATGTGAGAGTTGCAAATTAGCAAGGCTTATAACGTGTGTCTGTTTATTCAGCTATAAATAAATAATTTCAACTGAATGTTTGTGATTGCATTATGTTGGTTTTTTATTTGTAATGCATCAAAAACAACTTGGCAACATTTTTTTTTTCTTCTTAAGATACATTCAAGAAATTGTGAAAATAGATTGTTTTTAAAATAAATGTTAAAGTTGTATTATAGTGTTTATTGCGATGATGGTATCTTGGAACTTAGCAAATTATATTGTTTCATTTTTTCCCCAGAGAGAACTCAGAATTATATAAGCTACGAAGGATTTGACCTGCTGTCTGCCAGAGTTCAGATTTTACTAAAGAAGGATCCGGAGAAAGCACTCAAGTTGTGCCAAGCATGTGCTCAACACAAAGAAATCGGGAAGGACACCGTGTTTCTTGAAACCACAATTGTCATCTTATACAACCAGGGTATGCCCCCTGATTTTTCAATGCAAGTGAGTGTTACTGTTCATTAAATAAGGCAGCAGCTATAGTTACAACAGTCAACTATTTCTGTTTGGATGTTATTGTATGGATTGGATTAGGACAATACTATCCAATTGGAATTCGTTTTAAGACTGGTGTAACAATAGCCATTGGTAAATAATATTGTTACGATTTGTATTAATTCAAAATGACTTATTTTGATAGATATTTTGAAGTAGAGTACATATTAATTAGTCCTAAAGCTGTAACAACACTATCCAATTTTATGTAACAACTACCTGCGATATGCCCATATTCGGGTTATGATATGAATTGACATCACCATGCCTATGGATGTGGTTAAAGTATCGTCATGCTCATATTTATTTTTAAATGCTTTTATTCATTGGCTCCACCTCCGGTTATCGATCTCATTTGTAAAAGAACCTCTATCACCTCTAGGGCCGGAAAGGGTTTATATAACATCTACCCCTATAAAGCTACTCGGAACCATGGTAGAAATTTTATTGGGTGTTGTGGAGCTAACTATTGGAACTCCCTTCCTTTCCTTTCACTATTAAATGCAGTGCGAGATTGTCAACTTCCTCCTTTAAAAGGATACTTAAGCTTCATCTCTTTTATGTGGCCGGTACACATAACATTGTTAGATATATTTAGTTATTCTCGATTGGGTGTGCTTCTTTTCTACATAATGATATATTTTTTTTACATCGCTTTTAAATGAAAATAATTAAAATTTAATAATGATATATTTTTATACTATTTAAAAAATTTAAAAAACATTTATTGGTGTTTTTTTTTTTTTTTTTAATGAATGTGCTGTTTTTACTGTTTGCTCTGCTTTATGTTTCTTTTGTTAAATATTTGTTGTGATGAAGACTCCCCTGAAAATCAGCTTTGCTGAGTGGGACATTTCCTCTTGAAATATTAATAAAAGAAAGAAAGAAAGAAAGAAAGATATATGGGCGATTCACACTAAATGTGATGGTGTGGACCTTTAAGAAGAGTTACCCTTGGAAATCTGCACACTGCATTTGCAGTGCTTCTCCTAAATTAGGATTAGTTAGTATACCAAGAGACAATTTCCTGCTCTTTTCTGAGGCCAAAAAAAAAAAAAATAAATTTGTGTTGGCCACGTTTTGGGAAAATCTCAAAAACAGGTAGGTCGGTAGAAACATTTTTTTTAAACCAAAAATGTGTTTACGCTTTAAAAAGTAGAAAATACACAAATAATACAACAATTGTGGATCAATCAATCAATCAATCAATGGATTTATAAGGCACATAATACAGCAGTCTCTATAAGCCAATAAAAAAAATAAAAAAATACCATGCACGAAAATAGGCTAGGCCTTGCTAAAATGCCAACCATGAATTTCGTAAAATCTCTTCCAAAAAATGTGAATTATACATATATTTTACTAGACGGTCATATTCATGAAAGTGAGATATTTATAGAGTTGCTTTATAACAATTAAGTGTACGTAATGTTCTTGCTGTACTCCAGTATTTACACCAGTTCAGCTTGTGCGGTAATGTTAGTCATGCACCAGTGATCATAAGATTAGCCGCCCTTTAGTATGCCACTAACATTACCTCACTGGTATTCCTTCTATTCTAGTGTATTGTACATACTTAAGGTTTTAATGGATTGTGTAGATAATGTGTTTGAACAGTAAATCAAAGCTGTACCGTCATTACTATATCCTTCCAGTTTTTTGGTTTAACGTCCACATCTGGCACTTAAAATACACAGTAATCCACATCTAGAATATGGTAATGATATTTTCTTAAAATTTTCAAACTTATAATTAAAATTATGTTGTGTAGTTTTTAAATGTGTGCAAATTGAGTTTGCATTGGTGGTTCTGTGGTTTTGTGTTGCACTGAAAAGCAATTAAGTCACATTTTTGTATTTTATGCTTTTAAGTCAGGAAAAAACACTGCACAATTGATATAGGCTTATGCCCATTGAAATTCACATGAGGCATGTTTAAGAAATCTCTTCTAAACATACGTTAATGTCTGGACCCCTTGTCATCTGATGCCAGACGAGGTCGTTGGAGCAAAAAATGGAAAAAACAAATTTTCCTATCCATAACGTAATTTTGATTGCCAATCCCAAATATTGTGGTCTAAAAAGCACAAGTTGGACCATACTAAGCCATAAAACTCTCCCTGTGAACCCTATCAATGATTTTGTACCGCAGGACCCCAACAGAGGCTGTAGTTGACCCCTTAAGTTGAGATCCCTCAGTCAGACATGTCAGACCCTGTGTCGGCAAATTTCTAGAGCCACCACTGTGTAAGCTGTGAAACATTAAATCGAGATCTAGAATTTGAAACCTTTTCATTGAAAATTAACAATGCTGTTTATTCTTTTTAGATCTTTAAATTTGCATATTTTCTTCAGTAGTGAAACATCCTGTAAATGAGAAGAAACAATTGTAATTTGATCCGTTCAAATTAAAGCTATATTCACTGTTTAGATTGATTTTTCAGAGTTTTTCATATTTTTTTTTAAGAATCTGTTTCTTGTAGATGTATTTCTCTTCCTAATTTCAATAGTAAGTGTCTGAGATCGCTGAAGTGTTTATCTCGCGTCTTTATCAGTTTCGTCAGCCTCCTGTTTGCAGTAATTTCGTTAAGCACTGCTTTCAGTAACTCATCTTAACCCTGGACCATTTAACTACATATGACATGTCAAAATATTGCAGGCATTAGAAAAGAGGTACATTAAATACAGGTCGGTCTGTATACGGTATGTGGGCTGAGCTGAATCGCCATAATTATTAAATTTGCACTGTACTACTGTCTGGAAAATCAGAGTTGAAAATGTGTATAAAGCTTTAGTCCAGACTATCAAATTATATTTGACAAAAACATGTGACATGCCTAAATATGGTCATGATGGCATCACAGCGTGCCCGTATATAGGCACATCATGACCATATATGGGTATACAGTACAACAGTTTCTCATCAAGTGGCAAATGTTTTACCTTCCCATACATTTCCCTTTCCTCAGATATTTCATAGGTCTTCTTTGCAGCAACATCATATTAATAATAGTTTTTATTTTTTTGTAAAGTAGGGGGATGGGCTTACATTCCAAGTGGGCTTATACCTGGAAAACTACGGTATCAAACATGCATATTTTTAATGTACATTTGTAATAATATCTACCATATATTTTTAAAATTAAATTTTTAAATTTTATAATATGATTTTATTGAACAATTTTCATCCACATCTTATCAAATTTGAAAAAAAAAATGATATGACATAAAAATTATAGCCGTAAACCTTAAGTACTTAAAAATACCTTTAACGTAGGTCTATGTATCAAGGCATGAGGTAAGTTTTGAGTTACCCATTACCTAATTCCCCATATTTTTCATGTAGCCATTGTTTCATTGTATTATTGAAATTTGATTATTTTTATTGAAGGTATCAACACTTAGTTTGTTATTACTCACTGAATAGATTTCCTGTCTCTATTGAATTTTTGTAATATTTGTATGGCTTGTTTTCCTTATTTTGTATTATGTTTGTAAAAATCAATTTTATTAAGTATATTTTCATGGTTTGTTAAAATTATTTATTCCTAGGTTTGGACTCAAGACAGTACAAAGGTATTGAGGGCGCTGCAGAATATGCTAACCTACTTTCCACCACCAGTAGTCAAACTTGTTGATACGCTACTCCTTAAAGAATGGAACATGGAATACGCTAGTTTAGACAAGCAACAATTCCGGGATTTGTTGAAGTTGTGGGTGAGAGCTCACCATGAGCATGGGTCCTTGGATGATGTCTACAGAGCTGCTGTCGATCTAGCCATGTACAATGATAATACACACAGTGTCATCCTCTTTGCGGATTCAATTCTTAAGCTGGTACTTTTTTACTTTTCTTGTGCAATAATATTGAATTTAGTCTTTTCTATTTCGTCAATTACTGTACAACCAATTGCAGCACTCATTCAATCCAATCCAATCCAATATTTACATTCAGACTATAGTACATTGAATAAAATTAGTCCAATTTTATTGATTATAATTTTATTCTTGGTAAATATTGTGTATAAGGCGATACTTTTTTTTATACCTTGTTTGGTGAACCTGCCGACTGCAAATATTGATGATTTTGAATAAAAATGAAATTTTACTTTTGGCCAATTGGCGCACTCGCCGCCAAGGAAAAGTGAGAATTTCAGAAAAAATAAAAGTTTTTCTTTATTTTTATTACGCCCTCCGCTGCCTTGAAATCTTCAAAGATAGGATGTGCATATTTTTTTCTAATTACAGTATATACATTTGAAGGATTTAACCATCCTATTTTACATTCACCAATAAAATTTTATTTTTATTTTCTCTTTCTGGATGTTTTTGGCAAAACTATGTGCTAAATAAGAAAACAAAATTTTATTTTTATTCCACCCTCCTCCGATGATCTTTCAAGAAATAAGTATGCGAAACAAGGAATAAAAGAAGTCTCGTCTAAGGAACTTGTGGTAAGATCCTTAGCTACTAACCAATTGTTGGGGGTTTATTCCCAGTAGCATGTACTAATCCCAAAGCCATTTGTTTACACTGCATTCACATCGGATCAGAACCAGATTCAGATTCATTCTTGATTGTCATAGTGATGTCAAGAGATTTGATTGATTTGTTTGCTGTTTGTTTGTTTTTGAACCAAAATTCAGACTGCATTTCTGATGCGCTGAACTCCAGCATCCCTATTCTTACATATTAAATCGATTTTCTGATCGGTTTGGGAGCCTTTCTGATTCGAAAATTTGGATTTGTTGTGAATGCACCTTTGATCATGGTTTTCAATTGTTATTTTCATTTATGTAATTGGCCCTAATTCAATATCAAATATAAAGAATAATTATGGTGTACATATATTAATATATATATATATTTTTTTTTGTTTTGAAGGTTGGTCCAAAAGCTCTGCCACTATTTGTGAATCTGCTTGTTGACAACATTCAAGTTCCTTTCCACCGATTGGATGAAAATGAGTGTGACATGGCCAATCAGAACAATACTCTAATCAGTGAAAGGTTGGCTGATGAATTGTGGGCAAATTCGCAGTTGCATTGCTTGTGCAGAATGGCTCACTTTGTATCCTCCCCTTCAAAACCGAACTTCTTAAAACTTGAAAAAGCATACGAGGCATCAAACGAGGAGTGCAGATATCCTGAAGTGCCACTTCTGTCTTCTCGGCTGGATCTCATTCTTACAAAAGTTATTCTCGGTCTTCTACCAAAAGCATTTAATCCATGGAAAAGTTGGGATAATTTAAAACAGTTGTGTCAAAAGTTGCAGAAGACTACAAAACAGTTTGAAATAATTAAAGAAGATGGCACAGAAAAAGCTTACAAAAAACCTAGTTGGTTTCTTATGATGTTAGAGGAGGATTGGTCTTGCTATGCTAAGGGCAGCAGAGATCAAGATGGCGAGGTTGTGTGTGACAGCCAAGATGAGGCAGGTGATGCTGTCCAATTGTTAACAGACATCTTGGACGATAAGCCAGCTAGCATTGTTGATTTAGACAGTAAAACAAATTCAGCTCAACCTGTTGCACATAAAAATGAAGACTGGATAAAAAAAACAAAAAATGATGAAAATCAGGATAAATGCAGAAATTCTGAAAAAAAGAGCGAGGATCAAAGAGGAAGAAAATCAAGGAAAGGTGCCATAGAAGACAAAAATAAAGTAAAGAAAAGGAAAAAGAGGAAAAATATTGATGAAAAAGAACTAAACACAGATCAGAAATGTGTAGATGCAAAGGATGTTGAAGATAAAGGTGCTGGGACAAATGCTGCATTACCGCTTTTAAAATGTACAAGCAAAAAACAATCTGACAATTTGCCATCAGGAAATATGAAAAACAGAAATGGACTGAACAAGAAATTTGGTATTAAGCAAAGGAATGGAATTAAAAGTAGTAGTGAAAGTACAGAAGGCAAGCTAGTTACAATTGAAAGTGGAAAATTCACTGGGGATGATTCTTTGGATAGTTTGGAGAAATTTGACGGAATTGAAAATGACTCAATGAAAAAAAATCTGAAAGGTGGTAAGAAGCGTAGACGTCAGCGTGATGACTTTGGAATTGGCCGGAAAAAGAAAAAACCTCAAAAGAAAGTTCAGACGTCTGAAGAGATGAGCAACAATTCTGGATTGAAGTCACAAGAAGCAGATGATGAGCTAGAGGACAGTGATACCGATGGTGAAATAATGTCAGACATCGTCAGTCCAAGGGATTGCACAACATCAGATATGTTTTCCTCTAAGTCAAATGAGAAATCAATAAACAGATGTTGTTTGACGCAGTTAGAGACACCTCCACCAGATTCCAACTCTTATATTCAGTTGCCAGGTAAGACCGATGCATATGGCAATACTCAACTGCCCGCTTTAACACCGGGCAGCAACTTTTCCAAAAATATGTTCACTAATGGAGATTGTGTCAAAGATCAAGTGTGCTTGATAGAGTTCAACAGTTCACCTAAGGAGAATTCAAAGTCTGGATATGTGCCATCTTCAGAATCAGTGCCTGTAAAGAACAACAGAGCAAACAAGGAGTCAAAAAGAGGCCGTAAAAGGAAATGTGTAGTAGAATTTGTTCCTCAGGTTAAAAAGGCCAATGATGCTTCCTTAGTAGATACTCATAATCTTTCTCCAAATAAGAAGACTGTTGTAGAAAGTGCAAATAAACCCCTTCTAGCAAACGAAACAAATAGTCTTTCTCCATCAAAAGGGGCAAATAACACTTCTCCTGCAAGAAAGACCAAGACTTTCTCTCCAACAACTCATTCGCCACTAAAACTTCTAAAGAATTCTTCCCCATTAAAAGAGACAAAGGATGCTTCCCCTTTTAAAAAGAATTTTTCTCCAGTGAAAGATAAGCCTTCACCCAAAAAAGTGGCAAAGAATGTTTCTCCTGCAAAGAAAACTAAGACTTTTGGTCCAGCAAAAGATGCATATGATCCTTCTTTCATAGAAGACCTAAATGATGCTTCGCCAGTAAAAGAGAGAAACCATTTTTCCCCAGTCAAAAAGGCAAAGGCTGTCTCTCCAGTAAAAGAACAAACTATTTCTTCACTGAAAAAAGAGTTGAAAAAGAATTGTACTCTTGAACTGAATGTAAACAATTTGAATCTTCCTGGCAATGATATGGAGGTGAATTCAAAAACTACACCCACCTCGTCGGACATCTGTAATAATGTAAAATCAATTGTGAACCCTGAGGAAAAGATTGCAAACAACACTGAAGTAAACAGTTTGACAGGTATAAAGTTGATTGGCATGTCAACTACCAATTCTAGTGGCATCTTGCGACCTGTTAATCATCATGTGCAGAAGATTGTGAATGATAGCAAGACTCTACTTAACAAGTTGGTAAGAGAAGCCTTTGTGATTTTAATTTTTTTTTTCTTTATCTAATAAGATGTAAGTCTGTCTGTTGAGCTAATACAAACAGAAACATTTTTGAATTGCTTGTTTCTGCGTCAAATGATTTTAGAATACCGTATCAGTAGTGAATTTGAAATTTTCCAGCTTGGTTCTGTCATTGATTGATGGATTATAATCCCTTTTAATAATCTTGCTTATTTTAACTTTATATTTTTCTTTCTGAAGAACTTAACTCCATCAGTATTTATAACAAGATAAATTGCTTTTCACTGTCTGACATTTATTTTTAATTTATTTAATTTTTGTCATTATTCCAAATTTGGAATTAGAAGTTGACACTGAGCCCCTGGTGACCTGTGGCTGCCATAAAATGGTGCCAGTACCATGTCCCTGTCTAACCAAACTATCATGCGAGGGGTAATCGAGGAGCAGAGTGATCGACTTTAATTAACATCCAACATTGGCCAGATTTAGAACTGGGTTCTTCAGCACAAGAAGCAGGAACATTACCTCTTGGCCAAATGCTCATTTTATAAGATTCTGTCAGGAAAGCCACTTGGTACTTTTTATAACTTTTTGCCAATCCTTGGAAGGCAGCATCATGTTTTGTTTTTATGTTTTTCCAGAAATTAACTTTGAATTGAAGAAATGGTGCCAATACTCTAATCTACAGTATAATCTTTTCTCTTTCTTACAGGATCATACAAGCAGTTACAGTGATAGTTTAAGTGTCAGGGAAACAGAGCCAAATCAATTAAGTGGAAGTCTGCAAACAAACATCCACGCACTGCAAAGTAGTATGCAGAGCACCTATGAGCTTGGAGGTGCTCAAAATTCAAATATGAAACTTACAAATACAATCACCTCAGGTTCTGGTAGTACAAAAGTGGATAGCAAACATAATCGTCCAATTCAAACATTTCCTGTCATGTGGAAGGCGAGCCCAGGAATGAGATTAACCCATTCAAGGGTCTTGGAATTGTCAAAAAAATCTTCACAAAGAAAACGTTTATCTGAACAAACAAATAAATTGGACGAAATAATGCCAGTTGATGTGGCTGCCAATAAGGAACAAGACAGTGTCCAAGAACCTAAACTGACAGCTAAGAATGGTACTGGTTTCATCAATGATGTTGAACCAGATAAAGACCATGGTCTGTCACCAACCAGTCATGATTCAGCAACAGTTGATCACAACTTGTCCATGTGCAATGAAATACTTAATGGATCAGAAAATAAACTTCATGTAGATAAGCAAACTGCAGAATTAAATGGTCTCAAGAAAAAAATTAGGAAATCGCAAAGGAAAGCCAAGAGAGTAGTACTTAGAGATGAACTCGGAAAAGCGCTTCAGGAAAAAGAAAGAAGCAAAAATAATCTTGGCGCTGAGTGTTCAGAGGAAATTGAACATGGTTTATCTGAGAATTCTCGACTTACTAATGAAACTAGATTAACTGAAAGGCATAGTGATGAGATACAGGGAGATTGTTGTGAAAATTCTCAGCCAGAGAAAAGAACGGATAACTTCTCTGGAATGAATGAAATATCACAAATCATCCATGATCGTGTCAATGATAAGATGGAAAATCTAGAAAGCAATGTGGCTAATAGCAAAACATGTTCCATACGAAAGCAAACAAAGCAACATCAGGTAAACATTGATGTAGGGAAAATGATGGAATGTGAAATGCAAGCGAATAATGAAAGTGATAGTAAGAAAAAACGGACCACTTCTGGATTATCTAAGATCAGGAATGTTTATGGAACACGAAGCTCAAATCTGAAACTTAACTCAACTGAGTTATCAGAAGAGAAAGACAAGAACCTTGCCACTGTTGTAAATAAACGTATTGGTAGATCTCCCAGTAAACGCATTATCAGTAGCGGAGGCTTAGATAATGAAAATAAATCAGTGGTAGAAATGCATAACACTAGGTTTAGACAAAAAAAATGTACTGAAATACAAGCTATGGAAAAAATCTCAATTGGTCAAGCCACCTATGTTGGCAAAACATCTGAACCAATAGAAAAACATATATCATCTGTTACTTTAACAAACCAGTGCACCTCATTTGAACGTGAGAATATTGCGCAACCATTGAATCAAGTGGAAGAAATTGCCCAAACATCAAACAGAGGTACGGGTAAAATTGAGCGTGTACGGCGTTCAAGTGGAAGACATGTGAGTGAAAAGGGTAATTCGCGGACAACAAAAAACCAATCTAGGTGTTTAAATAGAAACAATACAGTCAGTGAATCTGTTGAGGAACATAATATGCCATCAAGAACTGATTTATTGGCAAAAGGAGCCGAGGAAGATGCTGCGCTGAATCGTAAGCCGCAGACTAGACGCATCTGTACGCGGCGGCAGAGTTCATTTGAAAGCAAATTGTTAAGCAATTGTGCGAAGGTTAATCCTTCCCTAAATCTGGTGAATGAAGACAGCACAGAATCAACACTGGAGGAAGTAACTTTTCAAGAAACGAAAAGAGTGGATGAAATTGATAATGACAAACCACTTTTTAAAGAAATCAAGCGTTATACAAGGGAAAGGAAATCACTTTGATTTTTATGATACATGGAATAACATATCTACTGTATATTAACATTGGCCAGTCTGGCACATTATATTCATAACAACCAAAATTGTTAGATTTTGTAAAAAAAAAAGGATTAGAGTATCACATTTGCCTTCGTATAATTTTTGTCTAGATTTTTTATTTGTTTTAATTATTTCTGGCTTCCATTGCCTTTTCTAGCCATTGGAAAAGAGCATTTTATTGTGTTGAAATATATCTTTCAACTACAGTTGTACATAGTTTTCAATACTCTGATGTGCAATGCACTTTACTCCATTTTTTCTGCTACCAACTATAAACTTCGGCTTAAAAAACATTCTTGAAGAAAGCATTCTCCTTAACAATTACAGATGCATAATTTATACAATAACTATGTTCTCTTTATGACCCTATCATTGGCAGGTAATCAAAATATGTTCAAATTATGGTGCATTAGATCAGTGCTTCCTAACCGTTTTGCATTTGCCTACACTGAACATGTTCAAAGTCAAGTTTACGTATTGTTGATGTTCCACCAATAGGATAAAATTATAGATGGAAGATGATTCACCACAAACGTACATCAAAGCTATTTCTTTTGATAAGGCTTCTCTAAGGATTAACAGTAAAGAAGTTATCACACTGTTGTAAGACAAGAAAAATAATGAAAAATTGGCTTAAAAGTCTAGAGACCCCACATATTTGACACTCCTTTTGCACTCTTTTGACTTGGCGGACCCCCGGTTATAGTTTCACGGAACCCGTTTGAGAACCACTTCATTAGATGGCTACATAACAGTGTCATATCTATATGCACTGCCCCAAATGCCCTTCCTCTGAAAATTTACTGAGGTACTGAAAAATTGCTTTCATTCACAGCCAACTCCCCTCTTTTTCTAATTTTCACCCCTCCCAATTGCGACCCCATTGATACGCCCCTGAGAATTTAGAATTTTAATTTGGTACAATACATGTTTGCCATTGTTATCCACTATGCAGTGAAAAAGTTTGCATAAAAATATAAGGCATAGTTTGCATATTATTGTACATGTTTCTAATGTGAATGTTGTATTTGGCACAAGAATATGGATTAGCGCACATATGATAAAGAGAATATCAATTGGCATATATGCCATAAACAATATGTAGTACCATATATGGTGTATTTTAATGTATAGAAAGTGCTGTGAAGCATATGAAACAGTGTACAGTATAGAATTTAGTATGATAATATGGTATTACTAAAGTAGACATACATCGTACGCTGCTGTAAAATGTATTGTGGGATACAATTGGTTTTTTTTTTGTTCGCTAAAACCGAACTGGTAGTTATATATGTACAGTAACTTGCCACAGTTCAGTTGTCTATATTGATACTAGTTTTCATATATAATACTAGCCTAGTGAAAAGATTAGCATACACAACTACTCAAATGTAACAGTACCAATTGTAATGATGTCCATCATTGATCACAGTGTGATAATGATGAAAATTGTTTACTTGAGTGCCATATGATTTAAATTTGTCATATATGATTCAAATTTTTGAGTTGAGTGCCATATATGATACAAATCCCAGTGATACATGCTACCAGACAGATTTCTATGTAGTACAGTACACACCATTACGGTGTATTAGGTTCCATAACTGTTGATGCATGGTTGTTTCCATATTTAACATACACAGTACCATATTTTGTAGTGAGTGCCATATATGATAACTTTCTGTATATTTTTGAATCAGTAGAATCATGTCTGCTGCTGTAGAATGTGTCTATCTATACTTATATCATACAGATACATTAAACTTTTTATAGATTGATTCAGTGGTGGCAAGGTTTAGTCTGGTGGGGCTAAACTGCATGATAGGCAGGTCTGACAATTTGTGACAGAGCTGAGTTGGGCTTTTCCCTGGCACCTTTAAAAGCTTTGCTACTTCGGTTCATTCTATTATTTTAAGCTGTTCATAGAAGTTTCGGCATGTAACATGCCCCAAAATATATTTTTAGATGAAAAGAAAATTTAATTCCCTCTTTTTTTTGGTTCAGTAAGTCATGACCAATAGGGGGAACCCATTCCCCTGCAAGTGCCACCACACTGCATTGATACTGATGTTAATTACTGTTTTGTTGATTATTTTTGGTCTCTGATTCTAATGTGTCAAATATTAGGCAGGTTTTGCAACGTTGCAAATGTTAATATGTTGAATCTATGTTTTTGTTAATATACACAAAATACATATGCATTAGCATACATTTCTTCCTTGGGGCATGATGTGTGTTAAAACATTTTTAATTCTTTTTTATTGAAAGTTCTTGCATTGTATTATTGAAGTTAATATCGTGGTCAAAGATGGATGTCCGTTTTTTCCTAATCTACTTTGATCGATAATTCTGATAAAATACAGATATGCTGTGACAGATATAATTAGTGAATTTGAAATATTTTGTAGCAGGATGGTTTACATGAAAGCTCTATTCACACAATCAAATTTTTATTTAACACATTTTGTGATAATGTTGTCAAATTATGAGCATAATACAGGTAATGTCATATTGAATTATATATGAGTGCGATGATGTCATATCACACCCATAGGCAAATCACTGTTATTTGTCACTAAAAAGATTGATAATGTGAACAAACCTTAAGGTTGTGAAACCTCCCTAATACTTTAAAGTTTACTTGGATTTACACTCTGATGTTATGGAAACCTAGAGTGTGTTATACAGATTATACGGTATGAAAGGTTATAAAACAGTTGTACAAAAGTTAGTGAAAATCAGTGTAGATCAGCATAGATGATAGACATTTATTTTCATCCTGTACATATATAGTGATCGTATAAAGCCAAGATATTACTGTTAATGTTAGTTATACTGTATAGTAATTATATGACACTGTTATATAATATACAGTATATATGTTAATATTAGTTATACAAAAATTATATAAAATAATGTAGACAAGGTAATGATTCGTCTTGTGTTAGTTATAATCTTTCATATTTTGTAGTTTTTTTTTGGCATATATGTATCTTAACTGCAATGTTTATATAGTATATATATATATAATATAGTTATAAGTATATTTATTTCTTTGTTTGATGCATACTAATTTTAATCATTCTTTAAATTAGAATATTACAATACAATAAGTGCTAAATTCAAGTATTCAACATTGACAATGTATTTTTTGTGTTTCTGAAAAAAACATAACAAGTAATAATAATAATGCATGAAAGGTATGGTAATTATGAATTAACTTAGACATCTTAAATGTTTTGTTTATATTCAGTGGACAAAACCACCATTGTGTGTATGTCCACCCCCATTGGAAAGTTGAGAGTTAACAGCCAGGGTGTTACTATACATAGAAAATTAACTTATAATACAATATTTTACCTTATGATTTTTATAGTAAATAAGCATAATGGGTTGACCAAACACCTCTTTTCAAGTAAACCCCCTTTGATAAACTAAGTTACTGTAGCCTTCTTTTTGCATTAAAAACCATGAAAATGATGTTGGAATACATCATTTCAGATGCTAAAATGCTTCAATACCAAGAGGCTTTCCCATTGACTCCCTACCCCACAAGCTATTTTCCTTAGTCATCCCCCTCCCCACCAGACCTCTTGCTCTTATGCAAAAATTCCTTAGGAAATCCTGGTTGCAGTTTTACAGGCCTTAATTGCTGATGCGTAGCTGGCAGAGAAAGTGTGCTTTGGTTAAAATGTTCATGATAATAAGTTTAGTAAAATTCTCTAATGGAAAATGATGTAACACCAGATATAATAAATACTAACATTGATTTCATTGCAGTCACTATCATTAATAGTTGAATTTTGGTGTTGCATTCTCTTATCAGATTGTGGTACAATACCTGTGCAGCGTTCTCTGGGTTGACTGTGCCCTTTGTTATAAACTGTCTCTAACAGTTTCATTTCACTATCAATTATCATAATTTTCATAAGTTTTTTAATTAATAATTTTCTAGAGATTCTTATTGGTGCTTTAAAACAAAAGTTTTGTTTAATTTATTTGAGTAAATAATAATTCATGTTGCATGGTTACATTTGTAACTTAAACATTAATTTTCTGATATATATTTTATTTTGATATTTTAAACTTCTTTTGTTGTCCTTTTTGATAGTAGTCGTTGTATGGTGTGTATATACATGGTATAGACATCAAAGTTTTGACAAATGTTTAAGACACATTTTTAAATAAACATTTTCTACCTTCAAAACTTGTCAACAAATTCTCAATACAGTGTGTTATTTTTCTGTAAGTAAAGCAAACTGCAGTATCTCATACATTGACATAATATGTCAATATGTCACAGACCAATGCTCCTTAGGGTATGGTGCCATATTTAGAAGGACAAACAAAATATTAACTGCATATAAATATGTATCTGAAGGGCAGTGGCATATCTAGAATTCTTGAAATGGGGGGTTCTTATGGGGGACACGAAGGTGAAGTGTGGGGCTCGAAATGGGGGTGCTGATGAGGGACATGAAGGGGTGAAGTGTGGGGCTCGAAATAGGGGTGCTGATGAGGGACATGAAGGTGAAGTGTGGGGCTCGAAATGGGGGTGCTGATGGGGGACTCAAAGGTGAAGTGTGGGGCTCGATGATCAGTTGAGGGGTGCTATTTCGCAAAATAAGGGGATTTTAGGGGATTTTTAACTAGTTGACCATTATGTCTGGGGGCTCCCCCCCCCATGCATCCCCTAGATATGCTACTGCTGAAGGACTTAGAAATGGCATTGTATACAACATGGTTTGAGGGGCAGTGAATTCTTCTTGGAGGTGTTGAATGATAGGGTGCATCGGGAGTAGTCCAATTACTGCTTTGCCGAAATGAAGCCATGTTGTATTTGTTTTACTATACCTTGTACAGTATATGTATACCTCCTAAAAAATGTAATGTCTACACCTTAGCCACTTCAATCTGTGAGGGTAAAATTTTACAGTAGTTTTGAGTAGTACATTTTTTCCCTGCCGACGTTTATTTGGCACTTGCAGGGAACTAGCAAAAATTACTGCAATGTGGAATTGACCAAAATTATTACCTAATTAATATTTATGAGGTATAGTAATTGGTATACCCGATTTTATCAAAACAAGTGTGCTCCCCTGGCCCCCCGGCATCCCTCACTGGGAATGGGAATATAACACCAGATATAAATACTAACATTAATTTCATTGTGACCATCGTTTAATTTCTAATTTAATAGTTGGATTTAGACATGTATACCTTTAGTTTCAGGTACGGATCCAGAGTTTTCCCTGACTATTGCACAAATACGGTTCCACGGTGGGTGGGTGGGTTCGTGAGAAAGAGAGCATAATTTGTGGTTGTTTTAGACAGGTGGAGAGAGGGTTTTGGGGGTCCTCCTTGGGAAAGTTTTAGTTTTCTAGGTCTTCGGAAATAAACTGACTTTCCGGCGTTCTGAAAGGTCTACTAATGAATGAATGCACTTCAAATCCATCGCAGGCCACCCACTGGATTTACAGGCTTGGAAAACTAGTTTACTTGTCAAATAATACTGTATTACTGTATATGCTTTATTAATTAGATATTTTCTAAATTTTCCAGTATTGTTCTTGAATTGAGTTTGATTTGAAATGCACATACTATTCCTGTCATCTTTTTTATTCCAATACCATATTAATTTGCAGTCTCCCAGTACTCGGTGGTCATTTTGGACTTTATTAGATCTATGAAATTCGAGCTGTTGAGTGTGTTTTTAAGTTAAAGCTGTAGGTCACATAGGCTACCCACTCCAATAAAGACCTGTTTTTCCATAGCATTCTTTAAAATAATATTTATTTAAAAAGTAATAGTTAAAATAATGGTTTTTTGCTTTAGTGTGACTTTAAAATTACATTATAACATAATTATAATTATGTGCCTTTCAGTAAGGTTTAATGAACTCGCACATTATGTATCCTCTGTTATCATATACATTGCAATATCAATCAAAATACAAAACTCAACAGTGTACGTTATCACAGTATATCTCGACGCCAATTTAATTACAGTCCCTTTTTAATTAATATTTAGAGATGCAAAAAAGTATTGCATTTATGTTACCTACACTTTTGTCTTTGGTTGAGGTAGGTAGCATTTCTGAAAGAAGGGGAGAGTTGAAATTCGCCACACCACCAGGCAACACAATCACTATTTTTTAAAATCTTATACTGACCTTCGCCATGGACAACGGTGCGAAGGTCTTGATCCGCGACTTGAGTTACTAGACCGAATATGCATGGCCTTGTGATTCTATATTTCGATTATGATTTTGTTATCACAAATGATGACCGATCGACTCGCATGATTGTACCATATGTATGTTTGTTTGGAGAACAAATGATTGAACGATTTTGCAATGTATGAATGAATTGTCTTTACATCATACATATACAAACAAGTAATGTAATTTAATTAGTCTTTTATTTATAGGTGCTCATTACCATAATACAATACAAAATAATAGGTAAAAAAAATACAAACAGCACCAAACGTCAAACATTCTTAGGTGGTTTATGCTAATAAAAATAAAACTTCATGTGTTTTGAGCTAATACAACAATAAATTTCAATATGTATTTTAATTACTTTAAAGTAAGCTACTGGCTTTCAATTGAAGATTAGAACGAGAAAATGTTGTCTTCAGCAACTTTACAAAAAAAACAAAAAAAAAAACAAATTTGGTTATACCATGGAAGATTCCTCCATGGTCATCCATCCTAATATTGGAGTAGCATATAACTGATTAAATAGGAGTGTGCCCTGTATTCTTATCTATACCAAAGCATTGTAAATTAACTAATATTTGGGCAGACACAGAATTTCAAATACAGAGGACGGAGGGATATGCTATTCCCACCACTATTATTAGTATAAAATACATTTATTTTTCAATTTACACAAAGTTGATACAATGTCTGGATATACAGTAGGTAACATGGGCTTTAGATTTATGGAAAAAAAATTAGCTTTCTATAGCCTTGAAATAATATGCAATATATGCACGTGTTCACATCAAACTTTGTCTAGCTTAACTGCCTATTAGACTTCTCAAATTCTACATAACCTACGGAAATTTTGCCTAATTACAGACGTACGGAAATAGAATTCATTAGGCCTAGACCCATAAATAAGTCTACACATTGTCTAACGTCCAGAATAAATGATTTTTGCTTCAGGATCTTTGGTTACATTGTCCCTAGACAACCCAGACTCGTCAGATTATGATAAATTATTGTGAAAACAATCCTGTTCACTTTGGGACCGGTTTGCGTGCAATTCCAACAGCTTATTATGCTGAACCTGTAATTTAAGCAACCTATATTTTGCACTCAAGACAAATTATTAGGTGCTACGGAAAGCTTGTATTTACTACGGATATTTGAAGACGTCGTTACTGAAACGCATTTTACTCATTTGAGAAGTCTGAATATCCACGCCAACGCCAGGTTTAGACACCAAAAAATAATTTAATTTCGGCAAGATTTTTTGGGTTTTTTTTTTTATATGACCTCATATAATTAAACAATACCAAATAATAAATATAACAACACAATTACTGTATTATCTTCAATTTTAGAAGCAAATATATAAACATAATAAATATATTTATATCCGATTTTCCTTCTGTTCATCACATCTTATGTTATGAATGTAATCTATCTGTACAAGTTTTTTTTTTCCTTTGAGAATGATTAAGTACTTGTTATACAAAGTATTTTCAACCATCAACTGCACTTTTAATAATTTTATACCTGAATAAATTTTGATAATTTTATACCTGAATAAATAAATATGCCTGACGTAACAGAAGTATAAAAAAATCATTGAAAAAATTCATCTGGATCCAATAAATAATGAAGAAGTAACAACCCAATATAACAAAACCATTTATACAAAACATTGTTTTAATCTTCCGTACAATAATCAATCAATATGAATGAGCTTGCACCCAAGGTGAGTTCTGAAAATTGTAATTATCGGGGAGGTTGTGAATTGGGTGGGTTATAAGGTGGTTATCTGTAAGTTGGTGGGTCATTATATTGGATTGGTGATTTGGTGGAGTAATTAGTCTATGGTATTGTCTATAAAAAAAAAAAAAATTCTACAAGCAGAAAACAGTCTGTTCAATTATATGTGTTGGATTTTCAAAACCAGTATTCAACTATCCCCACACTGCCAGTATATCCAACTATCTCCACCCTACATATCAAAACATTTGCATATTCACATCAACACAAGCTGCTATCATGACATTAATGCAGCACATTAAATTTGGTTACTAGCACTAGTAGATATTTCATTTTATATTTCTCAATTCATTTTTATTGTATCGCAATACCGATAGATGATAGAATATGTTTCTCTATGTTGTTGAGGTGCGAAGCGAAGATCAAATGGGATGGATGATGGGAAAGCTGTTGTAAAAACTCTGTTAGATGAGCCTGAAAAATAAGAAAATATATATTACATTTAACTTGTACAGAGTTGTATTAGCAAGACTACCTTCAACAAGCTCCAGGTTCTCCCTCATTTATATAGTTATAATCCATAAACAAAAACATGACTGGAACTGCATTTGTGAATTGTGATTAATCCATCAAAGTTAAGACCTTTAGTCGTGGTTGGTGCATCGGTTGTGGCTTGGACTCCCAAACTTGAGGTCGAGGGTTCAAAACTCTCGCTGTGCAAGTCGCTTGTGTCCTTGGGCAAATCACTTTATCTACGGTTGTCTCTCTCCACTCAGGAGTACAAGTGGGTACCTGGTAGGTTCAAACACAGCCTGCGCTGAATACAGCTGCAACATTATGGAATTCCCCAATGGGGCTTGAGTGTGTGTTCTATATGTGCTTGATCCAGTGATCCGGGGGTAATGTTCAAGCGCCTCGAGGTTGTGTCAACGTGAGGCGCTATATAAATCCAGAATTATTATTATTATTATTTATTATTATTTATTGTTCCTACACTTAGAATTGGGGTATGGGGGTCATTAGGACCTTAGTGGAGTAACATCCCTATTCATGATGTAGAGTTCCAATTAGAATAACTTTATATATTTTGTATATTATATATGTTTCAATGTATTCTTTTTAAACGACTATAGTTACCTGTCTTTTGTAGCAATAAAATAAAAAATATACAAGAAGCATCTTTACCTGGATGTCTATTTGAAAGACTGGATCTTGCAGGGCATCTGGGTCATCCTCTTCTTCATCATCTACATCCTCCCCAAAATCATAACCTTCAAAGACAGGGACAGTACTAATATTATGCAAGAGGTTGTGCGATGCATTTTACAAAGACAAAATAAAAGAGGATTTATTATATTTATATCTATAATTTAAAACTAAATATAATTAATGAAAAAAATTAATTGAAAATATCTGAATATGGGGAAGTAGATTCCTGATGTTATGTTTAAGACCTTACCCCGAAACCCAGACTCAGAAATACCGGGATGGTGACCGGCGGGGGATAGTTTTTCACCATAATTAGGGCTTAATGTAAAGTGCCTAGAGGGATCTACAATCCACAAGATGATGATGATGATAATGATGCATTTAACTGTTGCTGGTAAGCTGTTCCATATATTTGCAGCTGCAACACGAAATGATCTCTGATCCTTACTAAATTCTGGCCCTATGCTCTTGAAGCATGTTTTAGGACAATGGTCATAGGCCTCTACAAGATGGTTTATAAAGATGCTACATAAATGCAGTAATACAGTATTATATTAGTAGTAGAGTAGTAGCAGTAGTAGTTATAGCAGTAGTGTTAGCATTGTTAATGGTAGGAGCATTATCATTTCAAACAATTCGGTTTTTATACATGACTTGCTTACCCATAAACGATGAGGATGGAACGTAATCAGCTAATTGGTTTGCTAGTGCCAGATCATTGACGTTGTCCTCCTCATCATCTTCATCCTCGTCATCATCCCAACCATCTTCCTGCAACATGTCAAAAAAAAATTAAAAATCAGTCACGGCTATTAATTTATGAATTACTCGCTCGCATCTATTTTAATTTTATTTTTTATTTATTCATTTGGCAACATTACAGGTTTTGATTTGTGTACATAATCTTAATAGTTACTAGTGTTTAATACAGTGACAGCATCAGCAGTGAGTTCTGGAGGCAATATCTCCCCTGGGACAAGCATAGACCCCACACCCATTCCCCGTTGGCCAAATTGAGATCATCAGACTAGAAATTTTAATTTCCCAAATCAACTGAAGTTATTGTAACTGCAGTTCATAATATTGTGGTCTGATATCATAACTGTTATATTCCTAGAGCATAAAATCTCTTCCCCTACTACGGAACCCTGATGAGAAGCCAGAGGCGGCACAATTCTTTGGACGTCTTTACCAGACTTACAGATTTACCACTGATTGAACTAAGGAAAACTATCATAGATAAAAATAAAAAAAAGCAAGAACATTATTAACTTTAATATTATTATTTTCCTACCTCTTCTACATCCTCTCCGCCAGCAGATGCTTGGCGTGATATATTTGCTTCCATCACATTTGACAATTCATTAACTAAGATCTTGTAGATTTTCACTTGGATTGGAATTATTGTCCACTCATCAGGCGCTGACATAATAAAAAAAATATATAATTAGTAACTCATTCAATGGAGTAACTAGAAAATTTGGTCTTTGCCCTTACGTACGTTACATGTGGCAGCAATAGAGTAATGCCACCGCTGGTAGTGATTTGAGCAGAGTGTATGGACTGTTTAATATACACATGGCCATTGTTACACGGCCAAAAGCTTAAATTACTATTTTGAAAGATTATGTGCTATAACCTGAGAGAATTTCAGAGAGAACTGTTGGATAGAATAAAACCAGCAACACAACTCCATGGTTCAGCACACACACAGTTGCTATCAGTTTTAAACTACCATAGTAATGTTGCTCTCTAGCGTAATATGTTACATTTACTCTATTTAAATTGTTTTAGTTATTCATACAATTTTCAGACATTGGTTGCATTTGGGAAGTTCTTACCTATTGCAGCTTTGGATCTTGTTCTGATTCCTTCGTGTTTAAATATTTCATCGCCTTTCACTACAATACCATCAAGCCTGATATCATTGGTGTTGATGAAGTGTTTAAGAAGCTCACTTAGGGCTGTGATACTGTGGGAAAAAATCAATTTCATATAGTGACACATATTAAGTTCTCCTAATGAAAACTCATATTAATCCTTTTTTTTTAAATTTCAACATTCTGAGGTGTACATCCCTATGATAGGATGGATTAATAGGAATTTGGCCCCTTCTGGGTATTATCATTCACAATTAGAATAAAATTGTAGTGAAACACATTACATAAGTCTTGTTTAATAAAGTCAATTTCAGGAAGCATTTTGCAAGACCCAGCCCATGTCAAAGGCCAAATGCCAATATGAATAGTACCTTTTAATATTTATCATATTAAGTTTGCAAGAATGACAATAGAAAATTTTTTATTATCTTATATAAACTTAATAAAAAATTAGTAAAATTTACTTACCTGACCTTGCATTCATAAGCACCATAGAAATTATGTTGCCGGGCAGCCCACTCTGTAAGGACAAACTCAAGAGCCGTGTTACCGGTGGGGCCAGGTACTTGGTAGAGGAAGTCAAGCACTGCGTCCATTTGAGAATGCATCAGATGGGCGAATACCATTACTAACGACTAATGAAATTAATAGCAAAACTTTTTATGGCTTGAGAACTGATGTACAAAGCTTGTCAGAGAAGGCTATTTGAAAAGTCGTACACTGTTTTTTTTTAATTGTATTTCTTTGATACAAACAATATTAAAGTCATTGACTATTTTGGCTAAAATATGTCAGTAAAAATGAATAATGAGCTCTTTTTGTCAGCTAAAATATGTTAAGCTTTCTTTAATTCTATACAAGTACCGGTATCATGTCGGTAAATTCATTGACAATATAAACATGAAGGTACAAAAGATAATATTTAGCAGCTCATGGCTTCAAAAGTGATCATTTGTGTACTGCTTACGTAATTTGAAATCCCTCAATTTAAACTAAAGGGATGGCAGATGAAATAGTATTGTCTTACTTGAACAACGCTTAATGTTTCAGCTTGTTGCATCTTACTTAAAACTGCTTTCAATATCGCTGATAAATCATCACCAAGCCCTCGTCCAACTTTTGAGATTAAAATAGCGACCAGACGACCTACAAAAGCTGCCGTAAACTCCGACGTTTGAGGATTTAATAACTTAGAAACACATTTGGTGATGTAGGAGATACCGTCGTTGCCAGCGGGGTCATGCCACTCCCTAATCTGGTTCAATCCTACGGACACGTATGCTCGTAGACATTCTCCACCACTCTGTAAAGAATACAACGCTTAAGGTTTTTATTAATCTGTATAAAAGTAACCAATAAGAAGCTAGAACAAAATCATGTGATCCATTGCAAACAAGCTAATGTTTGCAAAGTTCCTGGATAGTGAAATAGTCACTATATTTGGCAAACCTGGAACACTATTAGTAGGCCTACTTTCACGAGAAATCAGGGAATGAAGACACGGAAACCTAACCACCAACGTTTGATAATGTGAAACACTTAGAGGCCTTCTTGGCAAAGAGAGCCATGCAAGTCTAACATATTATTATTGTTTTAATATATTACTAACCTGCATTACAGCGTTATCGTCTGACCTCAACATACACTGAGCAGCAGCTGGGAATGCAATGTTCACATGTTCGTTTGACAGTGGAGCGCCACTACTCCTTACAACAGTGCAAAGTATATCTAATGCAGGCTATAAAAAAAACAAGAAAAAATTTCTTAGCATATAATTAAATTCTGCATTATTATTATTATTATTATTATCAATATGCTGATTTTATATTGAAAATGCATAAATGGCAAAATAAATTAAGTACTTACAGATTGTATCCCCATTGGTAACTTTTCTGGGTCTCCATTTAGAACACTAATAATCGTTGGAATCAATCTCTTTTCCAGTGCCAGCTTTGAGCCTGGATTCGCCGCCAGCTCTTTGAAGATATCTTCAACATAGGAAGCCATTATTGGGTCTATACAAAGGAAATGCATTAAAAAAGGATTAGATATTTAGATACGCTAGGATCATATACATTTTAACTGATTTTTAATATATTTTAATCCCGATCGGACTATCAAATTTTATTGGACAAAAACATGTGACATGCCTAAATATGGTCATGATGACATCACATGACCATATATAGGCTCATCATGACCATATATAGGCATATTATGACTATATATAGCAGTTTTTTGTCATGTAAAATTTTGATATTCTTAACAGGACTTTAGGCATTTGAGATAATTATGTATTCTGATTTTATAACAACGGTTTTCTCCATAGAATTTTGTATACTTTGCTTCACTGTTGATATGTTTCATTTCACAGTTGTAACATATAGTGATTTAGATTTTACTTGGTAAGCCCTGTGTGGCACCATAATCAAACAGTCTATAGGTTTGTCTTTATTTATTTCCTTTATACAAATCAACAATAAAGTAGGTATAAGATAGTTTCAAATGGCATTGATTTAATTAAGTGCAATAGGCTTAATTCTGATCAAATCCCTCACTAAGCTGGCTCAACAACAATTGCTGCAGATCAGTAAATGATTTTATGTCAGTCCCCTAACTTTTCACTTAAATTTATGTGCTAAATTTGTTTACACTTTGGTTTATGGTACAAACCTTGACTAAATTTAAGGAACAAAGCTATTGCAAGTGGGGCTATCTGCTTCTCACATGATGCTGTGAATTCTGGATCAATCTGCAAAAGTTATAAAGAATAAAGTAATATAAGATGATGTAGTATTTCAATCTGGGTAATAGCATGGCAGGATTGGATTGGTTGCAGATGTCATATTGCCTTGGATTGATTGCAGATGTCATTCTGCCTGGGATTGGTTGCAGATGATGTCATCCAGCCTGGGATTGGTTGCAGATGATGTCATCCTGCCTGGGATTTGTTGCAGATGATGCCATCCTGCCTGGGATTAATTGCAAATGATGTCATCCTGCCTGGGACTGGTTGCAGATGATGTCATCCTGCCTGGAATTGGGTGCAGATGATGCCATCCTGCCTGGAACTGGTTGCAGATGATGCCATCTTGCCTGTGATTAGTAATTTGATAGTTTGGATAGGGCTCAATATGTACAGCAGTCAAAGGAACTACTTACTGTTATTGCAATACTAATGGTCTCCATGACCAGAGCGAGGACGTCGGAAGAACTCTGTTTGGCTAATTCAATTAATTCCGCCATAATGTTCGGTAAAAACGGTACCAATACTTGGCTGTTGTTGGAAGATTTCAGATGGTCACAGTAGCCATGAATTGCACGCACCGCTGATATTCGCACGGACGGAGGTTGTGATGCGCCAAGACCTAATGTTGTTGCTTCTAGGAAACTGATAATTGATGGGGATTATTTTAATATGAAAATAACATCTGATGAAAGCAGTCATAATAATGTCTAATAAGTACTTTATTAATGTTCACTCATTCTTGCCAGAATTATATTTTTTTAAATATAGACTTTAAGAGAAAATTTGTCTGTATTGTCTATTGGTGCTCCTTAATGTTTTTAATGCAAGTTTCCAGTTTCCTTTAACTGACGGATTAATGATTTTTCTTTGACATTGACTTTACTCAATGTGTTCAATTCCTTTCTGTAGTTGTTTTATATCATTACCGATTAGTTACTTTTATCCATGTTGTGTTTGGTTTTTCTTTTATTATATGTTCCCTTCCATCTTTTCTTCTTTAATTGTTCCTATATATCTTTTATTACATATGTTTCCATGACTTCTTACTGACATTGAGTTAAAACAAAAGCTCTAGTTCAGAATTACCTTTGGACTAACTTTGGTGTCATAGCTAACGTAAACCTACTGGCGGCCCATAGCGCCCGACCCAATAGAAATGGTGACACTAGGAAATGAGACAAAACAAAATATGACAAAATGCATATTTAACCTACATTATAACTACATTATTATGAATCTAAATCATAATTTCCATTATTCAAACAAGTTATGAAATAAAAATGTTATTACATTAATAATTAATATTTTGTTATATATTTATAGATTTACTCAGATAAAATAACAGGAATTAGGATGATTAAATATTATAGTAGTGCTATCAATATTAACATCAGTATACAAATTTATATAAATGTTGTTACCTGGATAATTAAGGTCTGCTAACACCACTGATGTGAGAAATGTTTCCATGTCAAATTGCAGTTTACCACTTGCTACCTTATCACAGATCAGACTTTTTACACTACCGAGGGCCAGCAAACATGACTCATGGATCTTCCACCTTCAGAAAACAACAGAGGGAGCAAGCATAGTTATAAGAATATCAAAACAGCAATGAGGAGGGGGTAAGAGTAACAAATGTAATGTTTAGGAGGCTTAAAACAAGTTATCAAAACAAACTATTTCTCTTTGGGTGATATTCATATAACAATGACAATTATCCTTCTACAAATGTTAAAAATATAATAATCCTGAGTTCATGACTTGTGACTGGCTACTGGACAGCTTGGTAACACTTTAGAATACTGGTTCACATTGCTTTGTGTCTTTAGCTAAAACAATTTATGGGTACCTGGTCAGATGTGGATTATTCTGGAATTAAATTGGTCGAGTTGAATGCTGTTAACGGCTAGTGGAATAAATTATCGGCAATATATTGCTGGGTTGTTATTATATTGCAATGCCACATTAAAGTAGCTTCAAGTTAAATTTTTGTGTGAAAAAATGGATTAAAAATAATAATTTTTTTTTTACCAATAACCATTGCCATTTTCCTTAGCAACCTGGGCCTCTTGGAAGTGTCTTGTTACTGCTGACACTAACCCAAGGCTACTGTCTGTCTGGAATTCAGCTGCAAGTTGCTGTAAAAATTAGGACCATATAAATTATAATTATATGAGAGTAAAGCATATTGTTATACATACATTATTTTTTTAACATTGTGCATCAAAGGTAATAGATGACAGAGCTTAACCAAAAAACATAATGAAACAACAGTCCCTTGACGGCACCCTTGGTTACGAAGGGTATTGCCGTGGGGTTAAGGCCTCCGCAAAACTTTACAGAACCTAATGTACAGAGATGACATCGCAATTAATATGATCACTCTCAAGTTTGTTTGTTTCCTGTAAGTTTTACCACACCATCAAATAGTCCTCAGCTCATAGGTGGGTGGACGTTTCATCAGTTTTAATGCAAATTTTGTGAAGAGATTAATCTTCTCCTATATAAGTTCTTTGCTGTGCATGCAAAATTTATTATTCACTTATTACTATTTATTATTTTGATTAAATAAAAATTTCCTTCTCTTTTTTTATAAAACAAGTAGAAACTAATCACTTCAACAGTTAATATATTGTTTCAGACATAAAGTTTATATAAGTCATTCATACAACCTCACCAGTAGTAGATCTTGGGCTGATATCCGAACGCTGTAGGAAAACGTTTCATCATCTTCATCCTCCACAAACTGGTTAGGATTGTTGGACCAAACTGTAACCTGATAGAATATAAAAAAGGCCAACAACCAAAATGTTATTTACTTTAAAGTTATATACTGAGTTAAGATAGGAAAATAAATATAGAAATAATTATATAAATTTGGTAATTAAAGTAGTCCTGGTAGGGAAATTTTCAATTAAAATTCCATGATGGACCATGAGTTAATGAATATCAAACTTTGTGGACTCGCCAAAATTGCAATGGCAATGCTTCACAAACCCTCCAATTGGCCTTACCTGTTCTTCTGTTATTTGCATATACAGTACGATGTAGTAAAACAATTGATCCACACTCTTCTTGATGGTGCTACGGAATTTCGGTGTTTCTACCATGCCGTTGATGAAATCAAACACGCTGAACACCAAGTTCTCAAATCCTAACACTTCGCCTAAAATAATTGAAAAGCAAATTTACAAAAACTCTACAAAAGGAATATAGTATCAATTATACAATATTCATTTATAAATATTATGAAACATAGAAATAAGCCATATTTTTACTTTTGAGGCTATGTGGGTTTTATAGCAAGTTTTGACATTGTTATGCATATAGCTTAATGGTGTCACACTGAATTAAGATCTTTTCTAAATCAAAATCAAATCGTTAATTCTTGGTGGGCATAATGGATTTCTTTGGTTTGATACTCACCAAGGAAAGTCCTGGACATATATCCAGTCCTTCTGGTGGTGAATTGTGCAGTAAACAAGAAGATGATTCCCTAATCTTTAACAAAGAGTGTACTGCATTCTTTAACATGCACACGAGTCATTTTGCACACATGACTAACGGCTTAAACGTCTCACCCGAAAGATGGTCGCCTTTGAAACCAAAACCAAAAGATCTCCACGGTTCAGAGCATATACAGTGGCTACCACCAGCTGACTGAGCTAAGCTGCTCTAGCAGCAGATTATAATGAATCAACTCTACAAAGATTGATGCAATCAAACACCTTACCGTCTGAATCTATTGGGTTGTCTGCATCCTCTGTTCCGTTTACGACTGTTGTGATGTACACCGCAGCACTCTCTGTTAGCGTCTTCCAAATCGGGGGCAGAATTTGGGGCATGAATTTACTCATTTGTTTAGGGTAGTTCTTAATTAGTGTCGTTAAAGCCTATGAAAATAAAATAAATGTGTAGAATTAATGTGTAGAATTAAGTAATAACAACCAAATAAACTGGATTAAATGGCAAGTATACAGAGTTTAACCAAGATTGAGTTTCAAAAATGGAATATGAACACTTTTTACTAGTTTTCTAAATATGCCATGCTGTCTCAGGCATAAGCCCACCCTCTCAAAAAATGGGCTTAGACATGAGAACATAAACATGCAAATAATTTGTAGGATGCAGTAAAAGATCATGTTGAAATCATTGTGGATCTGAGGACTACTTTGGCATATTGTCAGGATGAGTAAATCTTTACCTTAATAACTTCCATCTTCAGTCCACTATCGGATATTGGACCATCAGGTGTATTAAGAGCTTGTATGAAAGCCTCCACAAAACCTGGCAGTAACGGATACACAAGTTTTGCTGCTAGACCCTGAAAAAAGGAGCACAAATTATTGTTAATGAGGGTGTTCCGAGTAACTGATAATTGTAACATCCCCACATTCGACAGTTCTCACCCAAATGGCTGGTAGAATATCATACGCCTGTCAGTTGAAACCTTTAGATGATGCTTATCAAGCAGTACAATCTTGGCATACGTCATCTGCTTCACAAGTAAATTTAATATCGTAATAAGAACAAAATCAATGATCATTTGACCACCGTTTGTCTAAAAATCTTGATGTGTTACCTTAACAACCTCGTTAACACTGAATATAAGCAATGCACAAGTATTGAATATCTCAACAGCCCGCCCTCTAGTTCTGATGCTGTAGAGCTCTGCGTTGGTAAATATTCGGTACATTTCTGGCATAATGACTGGCGCTACATTTGGCATCTGCATATCTGTTACCTCACGGGTGAATTCTAAAAGAGAAGACATAAAAATTGGTTCAAGAAAGAAAATTCCTTACAAAAAAAAAACAACAAATTAACAAATGAACAAAAAAAAAAACAAACTATATTTACAAATTCACTGAATTTACATTCAATTTTGGCAACTGACTTTAATTGTTTGTAACTACTGACCTGTAAGTACTCGCATGGCACCGTGGACGGCATTAGCATCACCACTTGTAATCAAGTGCATGAGCTGATCAAAGAGACCCGGCCATGCTTCTGGCCAATCCCAGTGTGCAATCGCTGAAATGGCATAGGCTATGCTTGAGCGCACTTTACTTATGGATTCATGTAAACCAGCCGGAAGCATTCGTCGTATATCAGCTTTCGCCTTAATGGAGAAAAAAAAAAAAAAAGAATGAAAAATCTTACAAAAAAAATTAATGAGCAAACACAACTTTCAACAAGTGTATACCTGCCAACTCTCACACATATTGTAATGCGTGAATCTCACACATGAGCATCTACTTCTTACATCTCACGACTAAGTTGTATTATCTCGGGCAACATAAAAATTTTGTAAAAGACAAAGTGTATAGGCCGATTATAAACTATTCGCCATTAAAATGTGAATACAGGTCATATAACATGACAGGTCATATATAACATCTTTCAATGAAGCTATGCCAACCGACGACTGTAATCAGTTACTCCATTACAATTTTTAAAATAGGGGGCGCTATATTTCGTGATTTTTGCATAGAGGCCGCTATAGACAAATTGTATTTTTTATTTTTTTGTCTCCTGTCGTGCATCAAATGCCAGCAAAGTTGGCAGGTATACAAGTGGTAGATTTTATGTTAACTATTATGTTAATCAGTTCAGATTATTGGCGATTATGCAGTGCCAATGATTATGCGAGTACTGGTATATTCTTTATTAAGGCTGTCTCTTATACACATCTAGATGTGTATAAGAGACAGCTCGTTAACACTGAATATAAGCAATGCACAAGTATTGAATATCTCAACAGCCCGCCCTCTAGTTCTGATGCTGTAGAGCTCTGCGTTGGTAAATATTCGGTACATTTCTGGCATAATGACTGGCGCTACATTTGGCATCTGCATATCTGTTACCTCACGGGTGAATTCTAAAAAAGAGAAGACATAAAAATTGGTTCAAGAAAGAAAACTCCTTACAAAAAAAACCAACAAATTAACAAATAAACAAAAAAAAAAAAACCAACTATATTTAAAAAGTCACTGAATTTACATTCAATTTTGGCAACTGACTTTTAATTGTTTGTAACTACTGACCTGTAAGTACTCGCATGGCACCGTGGACGGCATTAGCATCACCACTTGTGATCAAGTGCATGAGCTGATCAAAGAGACCCGGCCATGCTTCTGGCCAATCCCAGTGTGCAATCGCTGAAATGGCATAGGCTATGCTTGAGCGCACTTTACTTATGGATTCATGTAAACCAGCCGGAAGCATTCGTCGTATATCAGCTTTCGCCTTAATGGAGAAAAAAAAAAACAAATGAAAAAAATTAATGAGCAAACACAACTTTCAACAAGTGTATACCTGCCAACTCTCACACATATTGTAATGCGCGAGTCTCACGCATGAGCATCTACTTCTTACATGTCACGACTAAGTTGTATTATCTCGAGCAACATTTTGTAAAAGACAAAATGTATAGGCCGATTATAAACTATTCGCCATTAAAATGTGAATACAGGTCATATAAACATCTTTTAATGAAGCTATGCCAACCGACGACTGTAATCAGTTACTCCATTACAATTTTTTAAATAGTAAAATAAGGGGCGCTATATTTCATGATTTTTGCATAGAGGCCGCTATAGACAAATTGTATTTTTTATTTTTTTGTCTCCTGTCGTGCATCAAATGCCAGCAAAGTTGGCAGGTATACAAGTGGTAGATTTTATGTTAACTACTATACATAATTATTAAGATTTCTAATCAGTTCAGTTTGTTGGCGATTATGCAGTGCCAATGATTATGAGTACTGGTATATTCTTTATTAAGGTTCTGTCTTTTGTATACAGTATTTTACAAAAATTGGGTTTATTGTGTTCTGCATGCTTTCTTGTTAATGTCATGCTTGTTTTAGAATAAATGTAGCCTGTTATCATATTTCAAATTTACAAGTTCAGTTGAGGTACAACTGACACAAAGTAACAAGAAAAAGAAATTATCTTGTAGAAAATACAATGTTTCTTTCTTTTTTTTTCTTTTTTTTATCAGTCTGGGAATATCATTGTATGCAGTGGTCACATACATGATCAACATCTTAACATTATATCTAAAGGATGTGTTATACAATTCAATACCTGAGAATCTAAATTGTTTTTTGAAAATGAAAGTCAAATTGTGCGTTATACTCACAGCTTCTGTAGCCTCAGGTGGTCGAAACTTGTCAGCATGCTGCGACCAATGGCATTCCACATACTGTTTCAATATTACTGATGCCAACTGTAATACATGACAATTGGTTATTCATTTTACACTTTATGAATTGTTAACAAATTTAATCTCAAGATAATAAATTTTTATAATTTCCTCACCTGTCTGATAGCAAGAGCCCCCTTTGGGTCAAGAGTTAGTTCAGCAAGATGTACTCCAAATTCTGGGGAAAATATACAATTCAATAAAATATAATATATAATATAAAATAAATATAATAATAATATATAATTTATTGTGATATAAGGAGAGTGTGTGCTGGGAGGGGTAGTGTGTTTGCGGGGAGGGGTAGTGTGTTTGCGGGGAGGGGTGGGGTCAACTTTTCCTTCAACATCCATAATTTTCCAATAGGCCAAGGCCAATACCTACCGAGTGTCGGAAACACCACTGACGCCCAGTTGTTTTATTCCACCTCCTTACCCAACATACTTTAATACTAATTTAGTAATAGGATAGTAGTAGGAATGGGCTTCATGGCCTAGCCTAGGTAGCACTTACCTTATCTTAAATAAATAATAATATATATTCATGCAATTTACTCATAAATATACAGAAAACAAGTTACAACCCATGCCTACTGTCTGTGTTGACTGCTCCCCTACCTAGTACTACTAGCCTAGCCCTACTGCATCGCATTATTATAGTATACGTATTAACAATATTGTTTCTTATTCTTAGTCCTCCAGTTGGTTGGTTCTTCTTTGGTGTAGGCCTACATGTACGATGTAGATAGTGATGATACACCTAGAGTGTCCCGAGTACAATTTCTTAGTTAATGTATTATAGTAGTAGTAGCAATAGCAGAGCAGGTAGGCTAGTGTGTTTTGATTGGATGATGTAGGCCTGGCCTGAGTGAGCGAACACACAGGGAAGACTACGTTCGTTTGAGATACTTACCCTCAGTAACCTCAAGCAGTTTTATCTGTTCTTCACCTTGGATACGAATAAGATGTTCTGGGGACAAAATAGCATGTAAACTTTCTATAATATGGTCACAGATCGAGCGAGTTACATCTCCGCATGCAGCCATGATGAATCATGAATTATACTTGAGGCAGATGGCGCGAAATATTGAAAAGTTGTTTACTGCGGTTGCTCCGGCTTTGCTTCGTAAATAATTAATAAAAGTTCAAACTTTTATGCTTAAATGATGGCGTATTATGCACTAATAAATAAATTTGAAGAATGTGTAACTGTTATGCTTCGGAAATTTGCATGAAAGTAGGGTAAGTAAAGTCAGTAAATAGAAAACGCTTCTTCTTGTTGTCAAGAAGCTATCGAAACATGACTTCCCCTATTCAGAACGCTCTATAACCCGGAAGTGAACCATGTGGGCTGTTCGACGTGGCTACAACTCACCGGTCCTTCCGAGCTAAGTGAAAACATCAGAGTTTTTGTATAAGAGAGGGTAACATTTATCCATTAAAATCAACTGCATCTCGCCATGCATAGCTTTAGTTACAGCGTGATATTGATATGCAGTATTTTGGCTACAGTAATTGTTGCAAATCAGGATGGCATAAGTACTAATTTAGAAAATAAACTAGTTTCTAGAAAAATAGACTTGGAGTCGCAGCTGGTTAAAATCACTACTAAAGTTACCGTAGCCAACACCGGCTCAACACCAACCAAATTGTATGTGCTTGCAGTTGATGCAGGACTGAGCGATAACTTGGCCTCGGTTGTCGCATCTGTAAGTACTATGTTTATCAGTTGTAATGCAACATAATTTGTGTTTCTTTTTAGCTGCATTGTTGTAAATTCACCCCATATTTATCACCTCCCCTTCCTGATCACTGACTGATCCTAGGCCTAGCCTACTACTACTAGGGTCGGCATAATAATGCTAGGGCCTAGCCCGGCCTTGGGCCTAGCATTTAGGATAGGCCTAGCCTTTATTTTATAATGTAATAAGCTAGTCTGAAAATACATATATACAATGGAGATACAGCAGGTACGCTGCTGTTCTCTGAATAAGATGCTTGATTATATTTACTAGTAATATAGTATGGGGGCCTAGGCCCTGAGCGGCGGCCCTAGTAGTATATTCACGCTTTCTGGTCAAAACAGCAATGACCAAATCTGCAAAAATCCAAAACGGCAACAATTTTTGACCAGAATGGCAATAAATCAAAATGGCAATAGGCCTAGGCCCTAAAGTCAAAACGACAGTAAACGAACACAACAGCCAATTATAAACATGAAAGTGTACATGATTAAATACGGTAAAAAATTGTCATAGCAATAACAATATAACAGGAGCAGGTCAACTCGGCCCCAAGTCAACTCGGCCCCAAGTAGTCAACAATTTTTCATTATTAAGTGGATGTAAATGAAAAGAAAAACACTTGGGGCCGAGTTGACCAGGGGTCTAGTTGACTTGGGGCCGAGTTGACATGGGGCTGAGTTGATTTGGGGCTGAGTTGACTCGAATTCCAATATAACGCTACATATTTAATAATAAAAAGATTGTTGAACACAATATAAAAGTAAACATTTGAATACCGGTATTAACTAAAACTTTCAAATACAGACAAAATCAGGCTGAACAATTATGTCATAAAAGTAAAAAAAGCAAAATAATAATAATAAAAAGAATAATAATGATAATAAAAATCAAAATAATAATATTAATAAATTAAACTTTAAAATATAGACAAAATGAAACATATAAATAATTCATCATAAATGTGTAATAAATAAAAAAATGTGATCATTAAACATTGAAAAAGAAAAAGAGCTCATGGCAATATATTTGATGTACCTGTCAGGACAATTTCAAAACGGACAATTTCAAAATAATTCAGAAAAGTACGCGACTAGACTTGATTTTGCTCCTTTGCCATTTTGGTTTATGCCTGTTGCCATTTTGGTCTGTTGCGATTTTCATACCTATCATTGCCGTTTTGGTTATTGCCGTCTTGGTCATAATCATTGCAGTTATATGAATCATTGCCGTTTTGGTTTATTGCCGTTTTGACCTTCTACAATATTCACATGTGTGATTACAATAAAAAATAAAAGAATAAGTACCCTAGGCCCTATGCCTAAACAACAATGAATGAAAATATGGAATACCCAAAATATGAAAATGAGATGCAAGGAATTATATTGACCCTTTTATTTGATGTGAATATTAATTCTAAAAAAAACCAACTTAATCTAATCAGAAACTCTTAAAGTAATGTGATATACTTTCACATTAGGACAGGTCAAATGCTATATCATGAAAAATTAAAATCAATTTAATACTTAATTAGACCCTAGTGTAGGTTCTGTGATTATACTAGAGTCATACAAAAGCTAACACATTGTTATCTTGGCTATTGTACAGTAATGGTGTTACATAATAATATAATGAGGATAGTACTGACTAGTATGTTAACTCCATTGGTTTACTTATGGAATATTGATAGCAGATTGCCATAATTTAAAAAAAAAATTTTTACATTCATATTTGGCGAGTAGCTCGGTTATGGACTTGTTCTTATGTGCTCTGTGAGTTTGACTTTACCTTATGTGTCACTTTTGTATATAAACTCAGCAGGAAACAGGCTCACAGGCAGCAATTTTTGAATGATGTTATCACGCTAGTGGCGGCATTTTATTGGATAATGCAGGTTATCGCACCTTTAGCAAACGGAGATGGCAACGTACAGTATCTCTAGCTCTGCATAAATTTTAATGCTGGGACCAATGAGGTTTATTATAATTATGGTTTCATGCAACTTTGGGGCCCTGCCTTGTTCCAGGCAGGTTTCTGCTAGCGCATCACAAGCACATGTACAGTAAAACGTCCATTTTATGTACATTTTAACGTCCATTTTATGTATAGTAAAACGTCCATTTTTACATACCCCTCGTAAATTGAAAAATTTGTACACTAGATCTGGTGTCAGTTTCCACTACCAGTCCTAGCTATCAATTGCCATTGAGCGCCGATAGGCTGACGGTGGGTAGCCTACAGTAGTACAAACCGACAGTGCAGCAGAGCGTGGTCTACCCCTCTAGAGCCTAACTGAAATTACCTTCGATAAAAGCCAAATTATTGTCTGGTATACTTCTGTTTAACAAAATATTATTTTAATTCTTATTGAAATATCTATATTTTATGGACCTTTCTATCTTGTTCTTTCTAGTTTTTAGATCGCTTAATTATCATTTCGCGATCATCTTTACGATGTCAATTAACTTGTTGACCCCAGCGCACTTCCAACGAATCACGTTGGTAACTCGTTGTTCAGCTTAGATTTATTACATTAATAATATAGTGATTATTATAGGAGAAATGGAAAAAAATATTAAGAAATATTATTATTATTTTAAGAAAAATATACATTATCACTTTGAAAAACATACGCAATCAGAATTTTTTATGTACCATATTAATTTGTTGATGACGACGTCATCAAGAATAAAGACCATTCGTAAAATCAACTTTTGTAAAACAAATGTTTTACTGTAGGGATCGAAGTGGAAAAGTTCCTTGGTCACAAAATAGTTTCAAGGATTATTTTTTAAGAGGTCTTTAAAAATTAACATTCAATTTCGGACACTTCTGTGCATTAACAAACAATTCAATACAAGGTTTTTTAATTTTGCAGAAAAAGCCTGCTCAAATTTGTGTGGAAACTCGCTAGAAAAATAGGTGCACAGAATCATATTCGTAATTACTGCATTATACATTGTTTATATTAACCTAATTTTCAGCAAAATCTGCTCAGGAGTATTTACTATACAGTCCGACAAGCCTTCATAACTTAGCAACCCTAATTTTCTAGGTTTTCAAGAAAAAAATTGCATTATCTTGTAAAATAATAACAAGCTTTTATAAAGTACATTTGGTTGCACTGGAAATGGGTTTTAGTTATTGTGGTTCTTGTGTGTCAATATTTTATGAAAAATTGGAACAATCTGTTGTTTGCATGTCCATTAGTTTTAATCAGGTAAATTTCAAACAAAACTTTTGAGGCACCTTTCCTAGCACGGTGGGTTCATTTCATAGAACTTGATGGTCAGTAAAAATTGCCTGTGCAGGGCACAAAAATGAATGCAGCAAAAATATATGGAAATGGAACTAATTGCATGAAAAATTAAGCTACAGTAATCAAACAATGGATTAGCATTCTATTAATTACTGTAGAAGGCGTAAATATCCATTTCATGTGATATTAAATCTACCAATCAAATGACAAGGTGTTTTATTTATTTTCTGTTTTGTATGTAGCATTGTTGGTTGGTAACTTTCATTTTAAATGATAAACATATTCATTTAGCATTCATTTGCTTCTCTTTCAGTCTGCATCTGAAGATGAAGGCGTTAGTTTGTCTGTTGCAAAAACCAGCATCAAAGGTCTTGCGTAAGTAAATTTTAAATTTAAACTTAAATTACTTACTTATCATCCCCCTTTCAAATCTCTGGGTTTAAATTTGTAATGTGTTTCGAAATTTTTAAAATTTTGGATCTGTTTCTTATGTAAGTTATCTTTCTTTTTTTAAAAATTTATTTCCTAATTTTGGCCTCGGCCCACACTACAACAATATCAGTGTTAGTAATTTCTTTTAGACGGTCATTTCTTAAACTATAATATTTTCCAGCATATGTTTCAAGCAATCTTTATTCTTACTTATTTCTAAATTCATGGTTTCAATATGATATATATTTTAATATTTTAAATTAATTATTTTACTCTTCTAACACTCTGACCGCCAGGGGTTTGAAAAAGTGGTACCGGTATTAGCCACCACCAGACATTTTAGCAAATTTTAACACTTTTGCGAAGCAAGTTGAGAGTGCATATGTGATCAGATTGACATGTAGTTGAATACTACAAGAACTACAAACATTTTAGCTTTACTTTACAATCACAGTCTGTGACCCGCAACAGTAAAATGAAAATGACTCAGTTTTGGAGATTTACGCAATTTCACACAATGAAACTGAGATAATCGCGGTTTCGTGAAAGTAGATCAATACCGCTCTACGCAAATGTAAACAAACAAATGGTGAAATACGGTCCAGACTGAATATAGTGTTCAAATTGTTAATTGTTAGTACATGTTGGTAATTACCCCATCTATCGGATTCCGTAAAAAAACTTGAGACACAGAGATTTCGTGTTTGGCGGTCAAGCATTGTGTTACCAAACAGAGATCTCCGTGTTTAGCGGGCAGAGTGTTAATACAATATCATTTTCAGTGTTTTAATAGAAATTGTGTGAGTTTTTTTTTTTTTTCTAGATTTCATGATAGAAAGATATTAGTTAAGTTAATTTTCAGTAAACAATGATTTAATGATTTAATCAATTGATCAGATGATCAAATGCAAATAAGTCTTGTATTGTTTTTATTACTGCAGTGGAAAAGTACTATACAGAGTAACACTAGATCAAAATTTGGTTGGTGGTGGAGAAGTCCAGCTAGTAATAGAAATGGTTTTTAGCAATGCGCTTCGCCCGTACCCAACGCAGATCACGCAGAAGGAGAAACAGTTCGTAGAGTTTACTGGCAATGGTTACTTTTATTCGCCATACAAAACTAAATCACAGACTACAGAGGTACAGCTGTCGTCAAGTAGCATTGAATACTTCAGTAAACTGAACCCAGTAGCCGTTAATGAAGATGTCATTACATTCGGGCCGTATGAGGATATCGCCGCATTTACTTCGGTGAGTAGTTAATAGGGAGTTTTCGATGGGAAGCCGTAGAACGTAATGATGTCACTAAAAGTCATCTTTGCATGCAAGAAAGTTAAGTTCTTCTCGCCTGGATTCTAGGTTGCAGTTTGGCCAAATTTATGTATGCAGACAACGTAGGATGCCCGGCAGGACAGTCACACATTAGTGATTCCGTTTTAGCGTTGCGTCGTCGAACAAATCAAAAGCTCCCTAATATTGATAACAGATTACTGAAGAATTTCTTGGTATCCATATACAAATAAAATCATCTATTCTGTAGGTGTGAATCCATAGAATCATACATGCATAATTAAGAATCACAAGAAAAATATGGTGTGGTGGGGCAGGGCAATACCTGGAAGGATAAAACAGTGTACATAACCTTGAAGTGATGTATCAATATCTCATACACATCATTGTAGAATAGAATTGATCTTGGTATAATGATAATAGTTTTAGAACAATAAATCGATCAGTTAAACAAATCACAGTTGATTAAATCAATTTGTTGTGTTTTTATATGCAAAAACCAAATTAATTGTTCAAAAATTCAATAATAATAACAAATAACAGCATGGATAACACATTTTATACTTAACATTATAGTCAAAGCATCCATGCTAATGCCTATACTATATATAATATACTGTATCCCACTCCTAATTCATTATAAAATATATTCATTGTACATTAATTTTTTGTAAATGTTTAAAAAGAAACATTTCATAGTAATTGAAACATTTCTAAATTAACAATTCAGGAGAAAATCCGTATCCATTATGAGAATAACAACGCTTTTCTGACGATAACCAGTATGACGCGTGTTGTCGAGGTTTCTCATTGGGGAAACATTGCCGTTGAAGAAACCTTTGATATCCGACATGTTGGTGCCAAGTTGAAAGGTTCTTTCTCTCGTTATGATTATCAGCGATCACAAGAGGGCGCATCAGTTAAATCATACAAGGTAATTCTTTTATTAAAAAAGCTTTATATTGATACCTTGATGGACAATTTCATTTGCAGTGTGAAATAATTCACTTTATTCTTTTAAAGTATTTTGTGTTTTTCATTCTGAATTAGCTTTTTCGTTATCGCCAAAATTTCCTACATTGAATTTGAAAAGTAAATATCAAGTAATAAATTAAAATATTAAAATGTTACAAGGCTGTCCTCAGTTTTAAGCCTATTGTTATTATATGACACTGTAAAACAATGCTTATTTGTTATCAATAATGATTGATTGTTTGCTATTTCTTGGTATTTATAGACAATTCTACCAGCCTCTGCCACTGATGTTTACTATCGTGATGAGATCGGTAATATCTCCACCAGCCATCTGGTAGAGCATGATGAGTACATTGAGCTGGAGCTCCGACCTAGGTTCCCTCTGTTTGGTGGTTGGAAGACCCACTACTACATGGGGTACAACCTGCCTAGTTACGAGTACCTTTACAGCTCAGGTAAAGCATAATTGTAGACTTCTTGTTAAAGTTGAGGGCAGTGTAGATAATTTGACTGGTGGTGAGCCACTGTGTATGTGTGTGTGCATGGAACCATGGAAATTCATGGTCCATAGGTTGAATTCAGTGTATGTCCTTGTGCATATAAAGCAAACCTAACTCTATAATAGCTAATCCAGCATTCATGTATAGATATCCCTTTTAGCTTATTGGCTCCTGTTATGTTGTTGTGTTCCCTTTTTAGCTTAGCTTCCCTCTTGTGTTGATGTGCATGTGCATATTCAGTAATTCCAACCAAAAAGAGTGCTCCATATGATGTTTTTTGTGTCAGTACATTTGATCATGCCTACTTAATTGTACCTTTATGAGTTTGATGGTTAGTGGGGAATCATTCCAATGCTGAAATTGTCATTGAAATAAAGAATTAAAAAAATTGTAGCATTTTAAATTAAACATTTAATGCATGTGGTGGTGTAACCAAGGTATCAATAGGGGATGTCATTTTTTGGTTGGTATTGACTACGTTATCTAACAAATATGGCCATGTATGAATACAGTTCACTAGATCTATGGTCGGCAATCCATGGGTCATGACTCAAGTTTGGGTCATGGATAAACTTTTGAGGGACGTCAGGTCGCATGTGCTTGATTGTCATCAGGTCGCAAGGTGTTCATAAAGCACTACAGTGTTACATCACGATACCGCGTGATACTACTCTGTTGCTATCGTTGCAAAAAGCGTTCAACCGGGCGCCATTTTCTCCACTGACAAACCATTAATCTCAATTTCTAACGTAATTATTAAGATGTTGTATCTTACTTTTTCTTTGTAAATTTTAATTGATGATTAAATGTGTGTTCGATAACTAATATAATGCGAGCTTTTGTGTTTTCAATACATTTTGATGGTAAAATATCAGGCGTAAGAATGGTGACCAATGTCTGTTGACAACAGAAAGCGTCACCTGGCGTCGTGACGACATGACTGTGGTACTCTATTTGTGTTAAATAATATTTAAAAAGTATTCCAGTGAAAACATAGATCCATTACATATTAAATTTTTGAATTTTTGTTTTCAAAACTTTGTTAAATGTCTGGTTGTCACCTGATTTACGAAACTAATAATCTTTATAAATCTTCTATATGTTCTTTATCTTTATTCAAAGTCTGTATAAAAAATACAAATGTAGAATTACCTATTTAACTAGTAGGTTTGCTAGGACTGTATGACTCACTGATAAGAATAAGGTTATTGATTACTGTGTTTAAAAATTCTAATTATATATTATATTCCCTCAGTGAGGATTTCGCATTTAGAAAATTTGTTCTTGTACTTAACACCTTGATTTCAAAAACCTCAGCAATTTGCTGGCAGAAAAAAAAACCAGTATCAATGTGTCACCCAGGCAGGGATAAATTTTATACTTCCCAGAGGATCAGTGCACAGTATTTGCTTGGATTTAGGACTCCATTTACTGACAAAGTTGACACATCACGATATATCTATAGAGTGGAGAATCACTTGAGGTGGCATATAACTGCTCACTCCTAACAAACTTAATTTCAGCACCAGACGTTACCAAGTTCTGAGACGATGGATGACAAAGGAGTCCTCTTAACTTGGTCTAGCAGCCATCGGTTCTTGATGCACTCTCTACAATGAAATGTTGTTACAAGATAACAATATTATTTAGATATCGGCCATATATTCTGGTTTTGGCATTTCATTTCAAAGGGGTACGGTGATTTGAGGCTTTGGGTCATGAGAAGCCATGGCAATTTATTTGGGTTCTAGGGGTAAAAGGGTTGAAGACTATTGATAACAATGTAGGTTGTTTATGTTGGCAAATTGGCATACTGGTGGATCCGGTTTTGATGATTAAACATAATGTATTAACCAATAGGTGATGAGTTTTTTTTATTTATTTTTTTATTTGATGTATCTTAACCAATTTGATTTATTTAAAAAAAACAGGTGATGATTATATCCTGAGGATGCGGTTCGTAGATCATGTGTTTGATGCAATGGTTGTTGATGACCTGACAGTAAAGATTATCCTCCCTGAAGGCAGCAAGTAAGACTCTTCATCTTAATTTAATTTCATTAATTTATTTTGTCTTCAGAAAACATTTAAGGATATGAGAAAATACATACAAGAAGAAGATACAAATCGCGTTTGAGTTGGTCTCCCACCCTCCCCCCCCAAAGTTTAGGGTGCAGCCTATACACCGGTCTTTAACCTACTCCCAAAAAGTTCAGATCGCGAGCCGCAACGAAAATCAGGCGCCGTCTGTCTAGGTTAGGCCCATGCTATCCCAATTAATTAGCCTAGGTTAGGACCAGTTTGTAGGCCTAGTATTTGTAATTGCACTCACTACAGTGCTGCACTAGGAATCCTACTAAGTTTTCTACGACATTCAAACAATATTGAAACACGCTGTTTTTTGGCAGTTCGGTTCTCGAGGGCACGTGAACAGCTTCATTTACGATGTCCTAACAAAACACACGCGGGCTGGTTGAAACTTGCTGTTCGACGTCTGGTTCCTGGTGGCTTGTACCATTATAGAGAGAATGATAAAAATTTGTGAAATTAATTTATGCTATAAAAACACAAGTTTTTTTGAAGTTATTTTACTGGAATTTAACTGTAGAAAGGCATACGTCATCTGCGCATGCGTAAGCTTTGTATCACACAATATTTCTCCAGTTCTGTTTTTGTTCATAAAACATGGTGCGTGATGGTGCATGCTTCGCACAGTGTGCTGTGAGTAGTAATGACTTAGGCCTAGAATAACCAATATTTTTAGCTTAATACCGACTGTTATTAGTCACCATAATAATAGAATGATTGTTTAAAATAGATAAATATACTCAATAAGTATTTTATTTTATTAAACTTAAACTAAACTGATGTTGAAAATTTAATGTAGCACGACCATCTAGCAAGAAATGGGGATTTCCCTAGAGCAAGAATACGTTGTTTCATTGCGGTAGCCAGAGGTTTACACGCATTTCGAGTTGTTTGTTGTTTAATAATCAACAGAAAAAGATGACATTTCTTTGTGAACAATTGTAAATAATGTCAATGTTTCAAAATAATTAAAACTTAAAGTTATGGGAACGGTTTGGAGCTTAAAAATTGGTGCGGCTTATACACCGGAATATACGGTATTAGAATTAAACATCCTTATTCAGTATGTACAATGAAAGATTTTTAAAAAACGGTAAAATTTAAACTTTCATTTACTTAAAACCTTAAATTTAACAACCTAAAAAAAAAATTCTTAAAAGAATTAAAAATATACATAAACTATAGTACATAAATTAAAAATAAACCTCCTTTTCAATATGTACAAAATAAAGATTTTTAAAAACCCAGTAAAATTTAAACTGCGCTTATACTAAACCTTAAATTTAACAATCCAACTGGATAAACCAAAAAGCGAAACAAATCACTGTCGAGTGGTTCTCCAATGTTGAAAACAATACTTAAAAAAATAAAATATATAAATTTAAAGTAAACATTCTTATTCAATATGTACAAAGAAAGATTTAAAATAAAAAAGTAAAATTTAAACTTTGCTTTACTTAAGACCTTAAATTTAACAACCCGACAGGATAACCAAAAAGCGTAACAAACCACTTATTATTATTATTATTGTATACTTATATAGCGCATATCAAACTTCTCTATGCGCTGAACATTATTACCCTGGATCACTGGATCAAGCACATATGGAACACACACTCAAGCCCCATAGGGGAATTCCATAATGTTTTGAGTGGTTCTCCAATGTTGAAAACAATACATGTAAATGCTTAAAAATGCTATATAAATTTGATTAAGTTGCTTCAGTCGTCTTCAAGAGAATAATATTTGGCAAATATTATTCTCCTGAACAACAGTTTCTTTCAGAACTATCTATGTGGTGTACTGCAAGCTGCTGGTCCCGCAGGTTGTTTGTGTGTTTCACACTGTTCTTACCACCTTTACGACTGGCTACAAATGAATAAGACATAAATAAGCAAGAAATTCATTTACGGAACTGTTTTTGTGAATTTTTATTGGTTTTTAAATGCGGCTGAAGCATTTTCAATTTGGTGAAAGAAATCAAATACCTTAAGCCATTTTGCAAAATAAATTTTGAACCTAGCGTGAGCGTAGCAAGCATTATTATTATTATTACTTCGCCATGCAAATCTTCAAACATTATCTACAGTCTCGTCCACAATGGACTTTAGAAACGTCAATCCAAGTTAATTGTCCACTCAGATGTGTTAACAACTACAATCAGTCAAATGTTTATTCATCAATAATTTTAAATAATATTATTGTACATAACTAATGTGATGATGAGCTAGCTAGCCCACCTACAGTACAGGCGTAGGCTACCCCTACGTTTCATTTGATACAAGGAATTTTCATGCCTTTTGATCTGTCAAGATTCCATTTCTTCTGGAATTTCTTGAACCTTCATTTTGAACTGCTGCATTCAGCAACTAATGGAAGAAGGAGCAATGATGATTTTTTTTTCTGTTTTGGTTTTCCAATGACTCCAATGACCACATTATTTTCTCAGAATCGCACAGGCACAATCAGAGAGCTTTTTGTATGTTTGTTATCCATAAAATTATCCAAAATTATGTGCTGACAATGTTCTCAAGTTCAGTTGGAATAGATGACCTGTATTTCAATGAACATTATTCATCATTAATAATGTGCCTTTACAGCAGAATCACTTTGAAGAAATCAATGCATTTTTCTATATTGAGTATTGACAATTGAGTGGTAAAAATGAAAATTGATTCAAATTCACACTAATGTTTCTCGTTTTGAACCGCTGGTTTTTATTTTGGAGGTCTTGATTTGGCTGGAAATATTTCTTGTTGGGGAGGAAATATTTCTTCTTGGGGGAGGAATAGTTCTTTTTGGGAAGGCAGTGATTCTTTTTAGCAGGTAATAGTTATTTTTCGGGAGACAATTGCTCTTTTTTTGGAGGCAATAGTTCTTTTTAGGGAGGCAATCTTTCTTTTTCGGGAGCCAATCGTTCTTCTTTGGGAAGCAATATTTCTTCTTTTGGAGGCAATAGTTCTGTTTGGAGACACAATTGGTCTTTTTCGGAAGGCAATAGTTGGAGAGGTCATTCTGGAGAGCTGTACAGGAATATTGCTAGCAATATTTCCAGATTCACGGTATTGTTGAATGTCCATTTCTAGGCTAGCTTTGAATATTTTTGCTTTGTTTCTTAAGTCTGAATCATTCATGGTAAGTTTAGAGAAATTTTGAAAAGCTAAAGGAATGAGAACATAAAAAACAGACCTAACCCCTATAGTTATGTTAGGTAATTGGCCGTATGATTTCAATGAATATACTAAAATCAAAGCCATGCAACATAGGCTCAAATTCATTAGGGTTTTCATAATCTCAGGGCCATATGGCCTGTGCTTTTTAATAATCTGATCAAACAATTGCTTTTTAATGGATGTTAAACCACTACCTTCATCAAGGTTCTTTATATAAATGACAGGTCTCGCATAATCAGCATGTTCTGGTTCATTTTTTACCGCTAACTTAATAACTTGTCTCAACAGTTTGCTGTAACCAGCATAATAGTCAGTTAAAGTGATGCAGGTATAGCCAATAATGATAAAGGACACCATAACAAACTCAAAAACGTCATTAGAGTTCATTAGAAGACCTAAAAAAAAAAAAAATACAATACTTATGATACTTACTAATTGGTAATTCAGTATAACAGTTATATATACATAGTATAATATTGAACTTAAAATAAATAGTAATGAAAAAATGTTTATTATATTTCCTTCCTTTTTGTAGTATGAAGTGAAAAAATGAATACTCCTAATTATAATAGAAATTGGTGAATGAAGAAGACAAATGATGTAACATTTAATTATCATGCAAAATGTTCTGACAATAAACTTAATACAACCACTTGACCCATGGTCAGTGCTTTTCCACATTTGTTTCCAAAATTCAAAGGAGAGTAATCTGCATGTCAGTCGAGTGAGTAGACATTCCAATTTCTTTAAATTATTTAACCTAAGAGTATAACAAAAAAAATTGGGCATTTCATTTAGTGTGATATAACTGACCAGTGGTATTCCAAATCTAATTTCAGTTTCAATAAGTCGGATCATATATTTATTTATTATACTATTTTCTTTTTCATTTTTCTTAAATATATATAAATACAACATTGAATTAAACACAAATATGAAATACCCAATTATGACAAATACAATATAAGCTGTATCAGCTTTGCCCATGATTATGTATTGTATCATTGATGGGACACATCCAGATATATAAATTAAAGACGCGCACAGAAAGCAAACAAAAATATATGTTTTTATACCTCCTGAAAAAAATACAAAGTGTTTAGGGCCAATAGGGAGATCTGTGCTTATATTAATGTACTCTGTGCCTTCAACAAGTGATGGTTTTTTTTCACAAAAAAACGACACAAGGAACAGACATATACATTGTAATAGAATGAAACTTCCAAATATAGTCAATATATGTATGATTTTTATGAAATGATTTTTTGTAGATTCAGTTCCCCAACAAAACAATTTTGTAAAAGTAGTCGTACTTTCAAAATTACTGTTAGACTTGAGACAAATTAAAAAGTCCTTTTGTAAGCTATCCATTGATGAAAATCGTGCAAGCGATGATGCAATTATTTTTTGTCTTTCATCTTCATCAGCATCCAAGTAACAGTCCACTGATATGAAAACATTCACAGAAACCCTTTCTATACCGTGACTTAATGTATTCAGGGAGAAGATCACTGCTGTATCTGGCAAAGATAATAGTTGAAAACCCTTGGGTCCAATGGCTAATACCCAGTCCTGGATATTGATCATTCCATCTGAATACTGAATTTCTTCCATTACATCAACAGATAAGTTATTAATACTGGACTTTAATAAAGTCAATTCCATGTTGATAAGAACACTTTCATCTCTGATGATGGTTTCCAAAGCCTTGGAATGAATGGCCAAGTTGCATGTGTTGTTTCTTGGCAGAGGTTGACTCTCTATGTAATCAGATGATACAATCATGAATGAATGAAGTAGCAGAATCAATATCATATTTACCAGAAATCTTGTCACTATGAAACTATCAAATCCAAGGCTGTAAAAAAGAAAGAATTTAGTCAAATGCAGTTATGTTAGGTTTTTTTTTATTTGAATCACACCAAGGATAAGTCCGAAGACAATTCCCTACTCTTTTCTGAAGAGTGTGCTGCATTCTTCGATGTGCAAATGGACCATAAATGCAGACAGGACCAATGACAAACGTTTCATCCGAAAGATGATGGTGCGCTAATTGTAGCTTGCTTTTCAGTCCTCCAGCTGAAATGCAAGGAGAGCAACGATGAGAATTGAATCGGGGACAAAGAGATCTCCACGGTCAGCCTTAAGAAATACTGTATGTCATATAAATGGCCTGATATTCGTACGGGTATTCGTAGGTCTAGCTTTTTCCTATGTAAGTCTAGGCTAGGCAGTTGGTATCAGCCAGCTACTACAGTATTCAGTACAGTTCTGTACATTCATTTTATTATATGGCCTTGTATGGCCCTGTATATAATATCACTATTTCCATTGGCTAACACTTAGCCTGGGTTCCAGGCCCTAATTTTAGGTTACTCACTCTTTATTGCACTTAGTGCGCGCCATACCTAATTTAATTGGCGTCCCATACTCGATTTCTTTTTTTTCGAATTAGGGCCTGGGCAAACGATTCATGCGTGCAATTTCCCCTGTCTCTTATACACATCTAAACAGTTTATGACTGATTTTGTAAATCACGTGATTGGCTAACTTCATGCATATTAATCAATCTTGGTAAATTTTCAAAATTGAAGATGCGGATGTCTCGACTAGAACAAGCTCCAGCTCCCTTTTGGCTACCTACTTAAATTAAAATAGTTAGTATAATAGTTCTGGCCTGCTGAGAACGACATGGACTGATAACCGTAGGCTATAGGCCTACTTGGAACCTTGCTCACCGCTAGCTGCTACACAGATTTAGGCCTTTAGGGTAGAATATTGTTAAAAAGGTAGGCCTCTGTAAGTAAGAACTTAAAAATAGGCCAAGCCTCTACTAGTCTAGGCTAGGCCTACTACCTGACTCCAGGAGAGGCCTGAGCCATCCTACTGGAAAGTTAAAGTTTTGTTGTATTTGTGTGGTATGCCATGTAGTCTAAGCTTAATTGTTTTTGCCATTGCCATCATTAGTCTTACTAGGGTCTATTCTAAATATTTTAGGCCCGTTTTATTAGGGAGGACTATTTAAATTTAGTCATGCCTAACTAGTCGACGCGAGTGACTCAGTTTCGTGGCTCCAAAAATATGAACATTTGATTGGTTGAAATTGTTTATTTCGGTCTGCCCATTTATCCAAATACGGAATATAAGATTACGTCATTCTATTGGCATCCTGGTGCCTGATTTCAGTGTTTTACAAGTCACTTATTCCGTCTTTAAATTAACTTTCTCGTTGGTGGCGCTGTCCAGAATGAGAAAAATAATAAAAAAATAAGAGACTTGTGGCAAGTCTAGCTAACACTGTGCTTTCTGGGCTGATGAGAGGATGTTTCAGGATACTAGAATACTATTTTTATGTATAATATATTATTTAAAAAATGATAACAGTAGTGTTCTAATACGTCCGTCCTATGGCAAAACAAAGTAACTGCTTTTATATTTTTAAGTTACGTTGTTTTGCCTTGGAACGACCGAATAGGAACATGATGTAATATATGATTAATCAAGTTTTAGGTCTGCCAAGTAGTTGTAATCTCATCATTAATTTTTTTATTTTAAAATATTTACACATACTGTAGGATAAATTTGGAAGTAGCTGTATACACAAATTGAATTAGCTACTGAAGTTGCAATGTTTTTTTTCTATAGGAAATATTTGTGTTGTTTTTTTTTATAGGAAATATTTCTTGTTTATTTTAAAATGTATCTAACTGATGAATACATAAAGTATGGAAATGAAAAAAAATGTAATGGTCACTTTTTTTGTTTTGTTGCAACAATAGGTCATTATTAAGCCAAATGTATTTCAAGAATCTGTTTGAACCTTATAAGGGAATATTTATTATTATTTTATTTAAACCAAATTTAATGATAGTGAACCATCCTTTAGAAGGTGATCATTTGGGACCCTCAATATGCAAGTACAGTAATAGGATTTGTAGTGAATTAAAATACAAAAATTCTCTCAGAAAAACAATTTAATTATTTTATCCAAAACAATTTTCAAAACATTGATATCATACCGTAAAACCTTGACTAGAAGCCCAATGGGCTGAATCTCGAAAAGAAGCCCATCTCGAATTAAAGCCCCCTCTTTAGTTAGCAAAAGCAACCTCGAAAGAAACCCATCTCAAGATAGTACAATACATCCCCCTCTTTATTTTGCAAAAGTAGCCTCAGACAGTAGCCCATCTTAAGATAGTTCAATACATACACTATATGAATTTAAAAAAAAAAAAAAATAAATTATCATGCTTGGTAAATACTCCATGATACAGACTGATGTTACAGTGACCCTATTTACAGTTTTATAGTAAATAGTAGTTAAAGCATTCATTTTCCCCCCCCTCTTTACTTTGTAAAAGTAGACTCGAAGAGGCCCATCTCGGACTATGAAGCCCATCTCGAAATAAAGCCCATTAAAATTTCGGGGAAAAAAATGAAGCCGCTGCTCAGGGCTTCTTTTCGAGGTTTTATGGTACAGACCTTTAGCTTAAATCCTCTGTATTCTATTTTTTTCATTTAAAAATGTTTAGTATAGGGGTCATTCCATGCCAATTCAACGTGGCCGTGGAAGTCACCATCTCAAATTTTGTTTAAATTTTCAGGGTTTGTTGTAACTTCAGTAACTAAGAAAAATCCAAAATTTCAGCTCAATCGGACCAATACTTTCCGAGACACCGGTGTCCGAAAAAGTGGGCGTGGCACCCATTAGAGCCGCCGACGACGTTGTTATTTGGATTCTTTGATTTTTGAAGTGTCATAACTTTTTTTCTAGGTCACCTACAAAGCTAAAATTCACAGTACTTGCTCAACTTTTAGAGTAGATTCAGATTCTGCATTCAAATAATAACTTAGAAAAACACTTTTCGAATTATGCTCTATCGAACATGGCTTCAGAATAAACGCGACAGAGCTTTCAGCTATTTTTGCTCACCCATATCTCAAAAACTAGAAGGGCTAACCCAAAACTGTTTTTGATTTCTTATACCCTACCAAATTCTGTGTAAATAAAGTAAATATGGACATAACCCAAGCATGAATACTACCAAATATATGCCTCCCATTATGGTCCAGCCAGAAATTTGACAAATATGGGTAGTCGCGTTTGGGGGTAGAACCTAATGTGGATTTTGAAATATCAACTTGAAAATTCAGCATAATCAACTTTAATATATGTTACAATCATAATATTAAAAACATTATTGTATATTTACTGTCTTCTTAAAATATTTTACAGGTCAAAATTACACATGAGTAGCAGGAGAAATTTGAAAGTAACAGGAGAGTAAATTGAAATAGGCCGGGGAATGGGGGGGGGGCCGCCTAGGCCCCCATCGGTGTCCAGGGGCAGAGCCCTGGTCGGGGGTCAAGGGGGCGAAGCGCCATTGCACTCCAGGGTTTTAGAGATTTTTAAGCCCATTTGATGGCATTTCTCTACATCATTTTTTTAACAACAGTTTTCAGAATTAATTACTGAGCTGTAAAAAAGTTGATATTTTTTCATATTCTTCATACATAGGCCTAGCCCTGTCTCTTATACACATCTTCGCCAGCGTTTATGTGTAATTTTGACCTGTAAAATATTTTAAGATGGTGGTAAATATACAACAATGTTTTTAATATTATGAATGTAACATATATTGATAAGTTGATATTTCAAAATCCACATTGGGTCCTACCACCAAACGCGACTACCCTTATTTGTCAAATTTCTGGCTGGACCATAATGGGAGGCATATATTTGGTAGTATTCATGCTTGGGTTATGTCCATATTTACTTTACTTACACAGAAGTTAGTAGGGTATAGGAAATCAAAAACAGTTTTGGGTTAGCCCTTCTAGTTTTTGAGATATGGGTGAGCAAAAATAGCTGAAAGCTCTGTCGCGTTCATTCTGAAGCCATGTTTGATAGAGCATAATTCGAAAAGTGTTTTTCTAAGTAATTTTTTGAATGCAGAATCTGAATCTACTCCAAAAGTTGAGTAAGTACTGTTAATTTTAGCTTTGTAGGTAGCCTAGAAAAAAAGTTATGACACTTCAAAAATCAAAGAATCCAAATAACAACGTCGTTGGCGGCTCTAATGGGTGCCACGCCCACTTTTTCGGACACCGGTATCTCGGAAAGTATTGGTCCGATTAAGCTGAAATTTTGGATTTTTCTTACTTACTGAAGTTAAAACAAACCCTGAAGATTTAAACAAAATCTGAGATGGTGACTTCCGCGGCCACGTTGAATTGGCATGGAATGACCCTTAGTACAGTAAATTGTGTCCTTACAATTGCTCATATATGTGAGCAGTGTCATTCATAGGAATTATACAAAAAATCAATTACCTTCTATTATTCTCTTGCTATAAAATATTCTTCGCAGCATAGGAATCAGCTTCTCTGATTTTTACAATGTTGAATACTGTTAACATTTACACAGCTTATACCAGGATCATCTAATCCAAAACCAGCATTTCACAACTGTGCAATGATTATGATGAAACCAATATTTTTGCATCACACATGATAATATATTTGTTATGGGCCGGTAGACATGTTAAATTGATATAGTTAAGCATCACTGACTTATTTGTTATCACTTCAACTGACCATAGCCTTGAATAGGACCTTTTCACGCTGCAGTAGACATCTTCAATCGATGTAAACAAATTACAAAAAAGTATAAAAGGACTTTTTACTTGTAGGTCTGCATGTGAGTAGTGATGGAAAAATTTTCGAGATGCTGTGTTTCAAAATTTCAGGGTCAAATTTTAATCAGCTATTTATGGCATATGATAGATTGGGTCTTTAAGCACAGATGTGGTGTGTACACTGTATACCCATGTTTTATGTTCATGGGATACATGATCTGGAAATTGTAATTTAACTATAGGTTGCATACGATACACTTTACACTTTCTATCAAGATATAGAGAACCATGTGTTCAGTTATTAGTGGTAATCAGGGAATGTACATACATATCCAGGACTTGGGAGTGGGGGGAAGGGTTGTGTACATTGTATTTTGTGAAAATTGTAAAAACAAACGAAGGATATAAATGACTTAAGCATTTTGGTTCAATGTACTGCATCCCAAAACATGCGCCACAATTTTCGCTCACCTAGCCCCAGAAGTGGTGGAAAAATTTAACATGCGTTACCTATGGATGGCTCAGGCCATATGTTTCTGGCTTAAAAGATGATTCTAATTAGCATATTAATTTTGAAAATTATATGTTAGAAGCACAAAATTGTAATGTAGCATTGGTTCCAAGGTGACTTTGTGATCTAGTCCATTAAGATTACTAACACATAACATAAAATTACCGTGCACTACAGTACATTGAGCATGAAGTAATGCCCTTACCCAAAGATGTATAGTTCCTTTATGTTCAGGTTTAATTTATTCAAATCATAAATTTCAACAATAAACCTAAATTGAGAGCCTATTTATTAAAAAATCACTGACTTTAAAATGTGTTATTTTTCTCTTGTCTTATATTTTGTTTTGTTTAGATAATAGCCCTTGATGGCTCACACAGCAATAAAATATTGAATTGAATGCCTAATGATGTTGATTATTTCCATTTCATAAACAATCCACCGACCCTACAAAAAAGCTTGGCAATAATTTAGATTATGTCTGAATACCAGGGTCCTAGAGCCACCACTAATTTTTAACTTTGATAGAAACCATAGCTCTGGAACAGTTGACTAGTTACCATTCATAGTTATATGCTATTTTCTTTACCAACAGGAATATGAAGTTAGTGACACCATACTCGGTAGACCAAGATAAGAATGAGCTGCATTTCACTTACCTGGACACAATTGGTAGACCAGTGATAGTCGCTCGCAAGTCTAACCTTGTTGAACAGCATATCCAAGACTTCGAAGTGAGCTCTTATTTTATTATCCATACATCACATCCTTGAAAGTTGAGAGACCATAGATGAAGTAACATTTTGTCAGCTGTAACAAAGCTACTTTCCTGGGATACTATAGTACCCAAAAAAATGGGTTTCACACACAAACATGTGCATATATACTTGCAAAAACATGGCATTATCAAACTTCAATCCATTAGGATTTCCCCACTTGACAGTAAGCAAGGACTACAGCTAATAAATTAATAACTTGCTCTTACCATAGCTTGTAATACATTAGGCCTAATGTCTATTAGTTGGCAAAGGAGTTAAAGGATATCAAAATAGGTATACATTTTTAAGAAATTTCTTAAGTTTCTATAACATATGTAATTTCATTTTGGTGCGCATACTGGTACCCACTGGTGCTGACTTCCGTGAGGCAATTGATAATAATCATAAAAATATTATAAACTTGCGGGAGATGTGTTGTTTTCCGGGAGATTCATGCTTGCTTGCGGGAGTGTGGAGGTTGTCCGGATTTCCGGGAGACTCCTGCTACTTCAGTGAGCCTTGGGTTCCATAAGATTGTGCATTATATTGTGTACCAAAGTAAATTGTGATAAACACAGTACTACTGGGTTGAAGTATATGAC